ATTTATTGACCATGATGAATTTCTTCCGGCCTTGTTATGGCTGATTGCAGCTTTCCTGTGTAAACAGGCTTGAGTAAGCTTCTGTCAGACTATAATGGACAAACTCGTCCGGACGCCATCTCGGTCTGTCTGTGAGGGGGAATATGAGTAATTTAAATCCAACTCACTAAACCTGTTCAGAGTATTTGCAGAAATATCATATTTAATGTCATTTTTACTGTTGGCCCTGTGCCATCAAATGTCATTTTGGTTGTTGAACCTTGCCAATAAAGATTAGTAGCTTTTTTTGTTTTGTTTTCAGATGAGCTCTAGTTATGTATCAGTTACCGTACTCATTTGCAGAGTAGATTTTTTTCAGTGCTTTATATTTTGTGTTCCCAGTCAGGTATAGTTTAGTTTCGGTAACCCTTGTGCTTCCTTTAATCCTTAATTTGACATAATCTTTACAGTTGTGTGGAAGGAGAAAACCACGTGTTGTGATCAATCTATATTCCAGAAAGGGCAGGAAGGATGACCTGATGTTTCAGAAACTATGATGCTCAGAGTCTTACAGTTTTTCAAACCACAGAGTTTACAGAAATAACGCTCAGCATGTCTTACATTGGGCTATTTTCGATAGTTTAAAAGGAAAACTTTTGGTTTTCAGTTACCTTCCAGTAAACTATAGGCAATTCTATACATTTACAAACATTGCTATGGCAGGCTGCTGTCCGATTTGATACAGACTTTCTGACTTCTCAGTTTGACCTGGACTAAAATTACAGGCGTGAAATGTCCTGCACTCCACAGTAATAAACAAACGGACAGAATACGGTTTGGTTTGGCAAAAAGAAGGGATGTTGATCGAATAGTGCCTTATTCTTGGGGTGAAGGCATTTTGAGGACAGTTTTGGCACTTAGACTGAGCATTCACAGGCAGTTACCACGAGTTTTCCCCAAAACCAAATTATCAGGGAGAACCTTTAGTGAAACGACACAAGGTTTATTTCATTCTCTAAAAGACTAACTCACAATTTTTTTTTAAAGACTGCTCAGACTTAGTTTCCTCTTTGTGCGAAGTACGGGAACATTACTAAAGCTGATTAAAAAAAGAACCGACAGTAATTGCAATTACAGTCTGCATGATAGATAGAACCCAGATTGAGTAATGCATACCAGTCAGACACTGTGCCAGCAACTAGTTATCAGCTCCAGAAATAGGGATGCAGTAAAAGCTAAACTTAGGCCATGCATAAATACCGTCTGTTTTAATATGCGTTTCAGTTGTTTTTACTTTAGTTATTTGCCTGCTCTTGGAATTGGTGTTATTGTTCTTGCCATCAGGTTTCTTCAGAAGCTCAGGTCTCTATCTGCAGCAACGGCAGCATGACAGGCACAGAAAAATGCTATAATTTTGGCTCTTAGTGGTGCTATTAATAGGGCGTACAATAGATGGTTTTGAATTGCCATTGTATCACCCACTGCAACTTATTATCTTCTGAGGCAACTGGATTCTCAAGAGATTTAGAATACAGATAACTCATTTTGCCAGTTTTTAGTCTTTGTCATGGAATTCTTAATTGTGACTTTTAAGTATTGAGGAAAAAAAAATTTGAAACATAATGCCGTTGATGACACTGACATGATTTCCTCTAGATGAGCTGACTTGAACTACCTAACCATGATTTGAAACGTATTTTAAAGAGGAGAGTAAGACATTAAGAAACTGTGAACGCTAAAATAGGTAATATAAGCAAAACAGAAAACAATGCTGAAAAAAGGGGAAAATAATTGTTGTGCAGTGTTTGGTACATGTACCCAAAATCCAAAGAGCATGTCTGTATCAGTAGGCTCAGGACATGCTGGTCACTTGGGTGTTTGATGAATGTGATGTTACAGGTCAACAAAGGGCCTCTTCTGTCCTATTCAGCGGCACATTCAGGCTGGGATCAGCAGCCTGTGGAGGGGCCTCTGATGCGTATGCGCCTCCGGCTGCCTCATCTCTGCAAACAGGAAAGGCTGGAACAGCTGGCCTCAGCTCTGTGCTGACTCCTCCATTGTGCAGGGCCAGCTTGGTGTGTCGGGCTTTGTGTGCTGCATGTTGGAAGCCGTCTCCCCACGCTTCAGGCACATGAGCATCATGGGCAGCTCCATTTGGGGCAGTGCAGAACTGGCATCTCAGCCCGAACTCATTGCATTTAGCTGTTTGACACTCTTAGCAGTTGTAATTAGGTACACATTTCACTCATGATTTTTTTTTTGCACGTCTTGAATATCTGTGTCGCCCTGTAGCTTTTGAGAGGCATTCATATGGCACAGCCTCATGTGCCTTTGTTTGGCATTACAGGGAGTGGTTTTGTGAGTCTGTGTGTTTGTGTGAGCGTCTGCCCTATTCCCTTGGTGCACGTTGGCAGTGTGGCTGGCTAATGTGCACAGACCTAATTCCCTGCGGGTGTCTGATTGTGGGCTCTATTTCTCTTCTCTCTCCCTTATTAAAGGGTGCGGTGACAGCAGACCAGCTGGGCAAAGTGAGACAGCTCGGGGATGGGAGGAGGGACGAGGGAGAGTGAAATGCAAAGAAATGGTGGGGCTGCTGCCCATCATGCCGCTGGCTTTGTCTTCATTTCTTGACCAGTGTCATTCTGTTGTGAGGGATGGCTTAATGTGTGTCAGTGCTGTGAGGAGCTGGGCTTTAGCTTTGAGGCATTCCTCTGTGCCCTACTTTAATTCTTCCCTTTTTCATGGGCACAATTTTTTTTGAACAATCACATTTGCGACAGATGTCCTGCTTTCACATTTTAAAGGTTACTTTTCATGTTAAGCCATTGCTGTGCTTTACCCAACTCAAGGGTATTTCATAACAGTACTCCAATCATGCTTTTCCTGAATCTGTTAACTCCCACTTAGTTTTCATTGAGTTTACGCAACCATTTCAGTCAGTAGTTACATGTCACTGTCAGTCTTTTTTATTATAATTTTTCTTTCCAACATTGATTACTCATCAGCATATTGGTATTGTGAGTAAGGGACACTGCATCAAACCATTATTGTTTGTGTTTTGTGATATTGGATTTGGATGTTAGGGGGATTTCTGTGCCTCGATTTGGGCGACATTTGCCTTCCCATCTCTAGTCTTTATTTGTTCCATTTTTGATGGAAGTTTAATTGTTATTTGGTATGCTTTTTTGTAAGAAATTGTGCTTGAAATGCTCCTTTGTGATAGGGTAGTTTACAGTGTAGGTATTCTTTCCACACTCTCATTTGGTTTGTCTTGACGAGGGGGTGGTTATTGCACATCACTCAAGCTTGAATAATTATTAGTGCTGAACAGAGCCATTTCTCCTACTGAATGCTGTTACACTACATGGTTGCATGGTGAGTGGGTGTATTCACATGTGTGGCTCCAAGAGGCAGAATGTAAGTGTGTAAGGAGGTGGTGGGGAGTAATGGGTCAGCTCAGCGAGCATGCCTGTTTTTCTAGTGTGTCACAGTGTGTTGTGTGTGGGAGGGTGAGTACAGTATCATATTAGGTCAGAGGATTGTTTGTCTGATCCAGTGAGGAGTGATTAGTGCAGACACTGAGCTGAGCCTCTTTCTACCCATAACAAGGAAGGGATTGCGCCGCCACACTCACTGGGACCTGACTGGGTTTACTCCCCATCAACCCCCACACTGAGCCACTCCCACAGACGCTACGTCACAGGAAGGCTGTCCTGGTTTTGGCACCTAACTTCCACTTAATTTCTCTCCATTGTGAGCATATCTTAGAATACAAGACATCATAAGAAAGGCTTGAACACACACTTTCACAGTCAGATCTTGGGTTGCCAGTGAGAGGAGAGGTGACAGGTCAAGGGGGTAATGTGGAGGCATTCTGCCTTCTTCTCTAATCCCTGCATTTTGATTCTATTCCCAGACGCTTCTTAATCTACCACTTAATTGGATTTGCCTAGGGTTTTTGTCCTTTTTATGGCTCAAGAATGCGTGATTTGTTTCTGTTGTCTTAACAGTTGTACTTTTTTGGCTTGATGAATGATTTAGGCACAATTGTCATTTTGCATTGACATCGTCCAATGGATGCATTCAACACCGAACCCACAGACAAGCTTCAGCAGTTTTTAGTCACAGGTCTGCTAACAGCCAAACAGTTTTCCACCTTTTCTTTTTTGGGCCATTTTTTCATTTCCTGTCTCACTGATCCATAGCTAATCTGTACAATGTGTTTTACAAAGGGGTGTCAGTTTGTTAGTCGGTCCTTCTAGAGGAAGATTTTTTACCCAGTCATGTGTCAGTGAGTAGTGACTTATAAGCCAAAAGGAGAATTGTCCAGTTATACCACATTGCTGTTGTTCCATTGCATAAAATAAACAGCTGGAACACCCCATAGAGAAGACTATAGTTTTTTGTAAATGTTTAAACTGGCATGATTTAGAACTACTTAGGATTTTCTTTGTTCATGTCATGCTGAGGAGGTACTTGAGTTGAACAATGACAAAATGGTAAGTAGTTAAAAAATGAACTTTTTATCTTTTATTTGATGGTTGTGCTCATTGGAGCATGTATACAAGTGGAAACATGTTGCTATACAATTGTTTTGGTATAGTCGTTGAAAATTGTATCAATTTGTATGTTTTTCATTTGAATATCACTTGTGTCAAGATGAGTCAAACAACAAATGTGAGAAGCTGTATGGATAATTGTGTGGAATATAAATCCCATAATATACAGAGAGCAGGATAGCAGGGAAAGTTTTTTGCAGCATGCAACAGCATTGACGTATTTGACTCCATTTGCATATGATGGTCATTTCAGCGTATTAAAAAAAGTGCAGCTGGAGAGCTGTGGGGTGCGTGTATGTGAGGAAATGTCTGTGCATCATTTTGTGGCTCAAATAGAATTTTACAGACAACAAAGACAACCCGAGGCTCAAGCATACTAGCCTTCAAATTTAACAGCGACTCCTCTTCCAGCTGTAGTGGAATTTTGACTGCATTCTGTGTCTCCTTTTTTGCTTTTTCAGGTTGAATGTGCATTCCTTTCGCCTCGACACCATGAGCACAATTTCGCCGACGGACTTTGACAGCTTGGAGATCCAGCAGCAATATAATGACATCAACAACCGCTGGGACCTGGCCGCAGAAACTGACTGGGACAATGAAAACAGTTCAGCACGTCTCTTTGAACGCTCCCGCATCAAAGCACTTGCAGGTATGTTATACTTTTGAACCACATCCATGCATATGGTTGGTTGCATCATGGCAAAACACACTCTTAAATACACACAATACCTATTTTAAACTTTTGGGTAAAAATTGACAACACTGCTGATGCAGCTTATACAGCTTTCAGCCTGTTTGTCAGGTAGATATGTGGCAGCTTTATTCCTGTGTCAAAAAGTTGACAAAAAAACTCAACTTGTCTATAAGGGTGCCCATCAATTTGTGAATAAGTGTGTGAAGAAATGCAATATCCTTTAGCCAATAGGTAAGTGTCTTATAGCGCAAATTAGCAGTAAATGTTGTTCAGCCTTTAACTTTCTACTGTGAGTCATTTTTATTGACTTTTGACTATATCAGGGTTTTGCATTTAATATTTCAAAAATATTTATATGTCAGTACTAATTGTAATTAGAAAAAGGAAGAATTTTGTTACATGCACATTCTTCTGAGAAGCTATTGACAACCAGGTTGGAACCAGCTAATCATCTGTCATGATTTTCTCTTGTTATTGTTTTCATTGTTGCAACAAGAGAATGTTACTATTATTTAGACCAGAAATACAGCTCTGCATATCCTGAAAATACAATTTTGGCTGTGAATAAAACATATGATGTTTTCCATAATATGATTACCACCTTTTTGCTTTGGTCAGTAACAGCTTTTTAATTGATCATTTTTGCAATAGGGCACTTAGAAACAGATGTCAGAGTTGACAAAAACACAGAACTACAAAAATCTAATTAGGTTCTGTAGACTAGGGAACAGATGTGATTCATTTCTTTCCCAAAAGGCACAAGTCCTTTTATAGGGCAAGACAGAAATACCTCCAAAAGGAGGACAAAGCTGGGCAGAGGTATAGCTGGTGAAGTATATTTAGCCACCTTTATCCATGAACTGAGTAAGTATTATACAGCGATAACTTTCTGCATCAGCACCCACATTACAGCCAAGTGGTGATGATTATAATAGAATATATTGTAAGGTTAAAGTCTTTCTTGCTCATCACTGATGACAACTAGATTTCTAAAAGTCAAGAATTGACTGTCGTTAGCATTCTAAGCTATGCAAATTTATACCTATCTGGCTTTGTTTCAAGCTGTCAAAATGTGTTCCAAGAGAAAATCCTAATAAAAATGTTTTTTTCTTGTCCTTTTGAGTGTTGAGATGCAGCTCGTGTCACTTTAACAGCTAAAAACCATTAAGTCAAAACAAGTTGTAGTATTGAAAGAATCCAGCAGAGGGAAGCAACAGGCAGCCAACAAACACACACGGACAACCATCCAGAAACACAACCACACACACATATACACACACTGAAGCAAAAACCAAACAGTGCAATGATGTTAGAACACAGCCTCAATAAATTTCTGAAAAATAAACCTAATTTCTCTTTCAAATAAAGCCCAACTTAACAGAAAGTGATGGTTGTATTTTTCTAAATACAAACACATTGTATCGAAACCTTTTTTTAATTTGCTGTTGTGTATTTATTTTTATAGTATACTGTAATGCATGTTGTGATACTATTTGCATGAGTCTTACTAGACTAATGTGTGTATGTGTGTTTTGTATTTTTTGTGTGGGTGAAGACTCTAGTCTGAATGCCCGTGATACCATCTCAGCATAACAAGTGCGGACTTGATGCGCACATTCTTTTACCTGCTGAAGCAAACCCCCACCCCTCAAGGCTCAGCTTCTGCCCACCTTTTACAGCTAATCCCCAAATGTCAAGGCCTTCTTCACTTTGCAAGGTGCTTCTGAATTACACTTTTCTTTGACTTACTTTCTCTGCTTTCTTCAAAGCAATGTAACTGTCTTATTCCTCAGTTTACACCTATCATCCATCGAGTGTATTTGGATCAATTCACTGGTTGTGTGTCAGTCGTACATGCCACTTTGTTCACATGCAGGAGACTTTTGTGAAGATCATTGTAATTTGAATTGATAAAGGCTAATCTGTGTGGGTAGCCTAGCTAGCTGTATAACTTTCCATATTTCTAAGCGACAGCCCGCTCTACAGTCAAACAGTTATCTGAATTTGCATGTTTTAGCTTCCACAGTTGGAAAGAGCAATACTTTCACCCCTATGAAACACATTCACATCAAAGACATATTTTCATAAAACTGAAAAGACATAAAGCTTTTTACATATCTTCTCATATAGTATGAGTATGCTAAGATAGGAAATGAGCGTGACTTTTAGTGTGGTCGTAGTATATCAGAATAATTCATGCTCTATAATTGGCCACAGTTTTAGACGCTCCTTTGCTCGCTATAAATGAAATTGTCTCCCTCCAAGAGGGTTTTTCTTTCACACCAGATATTTACTGACAGTATTTGGATAGTAGGCCATGTTTTCATTGTCCTTTGGGCCTTCAGAAGGGGCTCGCTGAATTTATGATAAAACAAACATGCCTAACGATAGAGCTTCCCTTTTCACTCATGGAGCTTACTCCCCCAGCTGTTTCAGCCTTTTCATTTTTCTTGTGTGGGTTCATTCACCGTGACAGGCCATCGTTAATGATAATTCACTCCAGGCTGCACTTTGTAAAAGTTTCCCCCATGTTTACTGTTGCACTATATGATCACATGCTAAGTGGGTGGATATTCTCCCATATTTCAGTTTGGCATAGTCTCTCTGTTTACTGTTCACAAGATTGGTTAAGATAGTCATAGTGTTGTTTAGGATGTTTATTTATTAGTATGTCAAAGTTACTCAGCTAAAATATCACATCTGTGTCTCATGTTAAATGGGAATGTGTTTGATACTTGCTCGACAGGATGCCCATTAGGCTTCACTGTGGTTTACTAGTTTTCTAGCTGCATTTGTCCATAACATAACCTCTGTTCTTCAGAAGACAGGGCGTCCTGCCTCAGATCTCATTAGTCGAGTCCCCCCTCCATAAACAGGCCGTCAAAGAAAGCCTGAGGCATTTTGTCCTCTTAATGAGATGCGTCCAGCTGCTACCACATCATCAGAGCAAACACAGATCTGAAAATAATGTTTCACTGCTGCCCCATGACCTGATCAGAAAGCCACAAAGGTGATGACCTTAGTCCTAGTACTGCTTGTATCTCCATGTAAGAATCTCACCAACTTTTACTAATCAGTACCTTTGACATATGAATTCAATATATATTTTCAAATTTTACCCTGATGAAAATCTGGAATTTGTGCCCTCCCTCAAATATTCACATACTACCACATAACATTTACAGTGAAAGATGCTAACATTTATACTATACAGTATTTTATTAAACACTTGTTGTTAGACATACCTCCCCCCCCCCCTTTTTTTTGTTGTTGAAAATGAGATGTCTGTAAAGCCTAAAGTTCTATTACTGTTTTAAACAAAGGTGACTCGCTTCCACCCCTATCATTTACCACAAACATCTGCCAGGCTAACAGATACACCCGTACACGGTTTCAAATCTTGTCAGACAGGAAAGTGCTCGTTGTATTTCTGAGACTTTCTCAACAACTTCCTTCCTGCTTCACTGCCTTATCATGAGGCATCCCCCGCGTTCAGAAAATGGAAGAACAGATGCTGCCTGAAGTGATTATAAACAAGAAGATAACCACACAGTGATGACTTTGTGCAGGCTGATTGGAACTTTCGTCAGGCACCCTTTCGGTAGGCCACACCCTGCTGCTTGCTGGAATTAAGGTGGAGTTGTATAATCCACCTCAAGCTACATTGCGCAAAGGAGTGTCGTGGTTTAGTCCACCTCCACACCTCCTCCCTCCCCTTTCTCTTCCACCATGTTCTGTCTTTTTGCTCCTCCCTCAAACACACCTTATGCAAATGACACAGTTTTCAGGGAGCACAGCAGGCTTTGTTTACACAGCTATCCAACCACAGTCGGTTAGCTTGCCATGCACTGCTGTTCTTCAACGATTGCACATTCAGAATTTGGAGGGAAGGAATACTTTTCTTGCTTGCTTAGAACCACAAAGGTGTGCAACAGGAGGCTTTCACTCAGCCTTTCACCACGCTCTTGGCAAATAGAAAAATAAGGACATTTTGTTCCTCACTTTAACTTTTTAATGACTTTTTTATGAAGAAAAATCTTTTGGTGCCACTGAGTTTTCATTGGACACAGTGGGATCTACAGTCGATGAAGAGAAAAACAAAGTCTCAAAGCTTGTACGTGCCTTACTGAGGAACAACTGAAAATCTTAACGGAGGAGGACAAAGTAACACTTTCTGGATTTACACATACCATCCTCTGGAAAACCATCTAAAGGAATAGATGCATTTTTGTTGTAGCTGCTATCGTGCTATGCAGGAAATCTTCAGTTTTAAGTGTTCCTGAGAAAATTTTAGCTAAGAGTTCAAAGGAAACAACGATGGAGTGGGACCACAGGGAACGAGAACCCTGCTTGTCCCCAGCAGCTTTTGTCAACCAGGTGCAATATTCTAATATCCTGGAAGGAAGATTTAAACAGCTTCAAGGTAAGAGTCAGATAGTTTGAAAAGGGTACTAATTTTTTGTAGTACAGGGTTAGGAAGAATAGCTAATATGTATAGATATACTCTTTTTATGTTACGTCATCTTACAGTGTGTCCTATGTAGATAGTTGCTATACAAAAAAGGAGATCTTTTGATTTAAGTCTGCATTTAAAAAGGTCATGTTGGCTGAAACAGGAATTATTTGGTAGAATTGGACTTGTTAGTGCTTCCCTTACAGCAGGTGCGTTTGATATGCTCTCGTAGTTAAAGTTTTTTTTCTGACATAAATGATTATCTCTCTGAGTTTGAAGAAATTCCGCTCTTATTGGTGCACCGTGAGCGAATAGAGGATATTCACAGCGTGTACACAGTGGGCTTCTGCTCACTTCTAAGCGGCAGGCAGTCTGGCACCTGATCACTTGGCCACCTGTCCTCTCTTATCTTCTTACAATACTCTGCTCTGTCTTTGGCCAAAGGCTGAGTGAGCTGTGAGGTTCTCTATGCAGAAAATACTGAGGCCATGTGACATAGGGATTTTGTGTGGTAACTGGGAAGAAAATTCAAACCAAGGCTTGGAGGATTTTTTATTTTTTAAAGATTGTTCTAATAAAATTCAGTTTTAGTTATTGGAACAACTTGGTGAACAGTTAGATTTTCTTTTCTGAATCTGTATGTCACCTGTTTTTTTTTAACTGTAGACTCCTTTGCCACAGGCTGCGAGTCTTTAGGTCAAGTATTTTGCTGTGGCTTAATGTCTACTGGGTGTGTGCGTGCAATGCTGTATGAAACTCACACTAGTTTTTTGTTTAGACAAGGTTACTCACTGTCATTTAAAAAAAATTCTTGTGGTTGAGAAACAACATTTCACGTCTCACTGCAACAATGTTTAGCTGCTCCACTGATAGGATGCCTATGTCAGTTAAGTGAGCAAGTAAGCATAGTTTCACACAGAAAACACCATTTTGTTTGACTTGATAAGATCCAGAGAAGATTGTATCTTTTTTTTTTTAAACAAAGTGCAGGTTTTCCAACATTGCCAGTCATTCAGCAGGTCAGGCATGGAATAAGAGATACACAACCCCTCATGTATTTTTCTGGTCATCTCTATATGTGGACAAATTCTGGATCAAGTTTGGTGTAAATACATTAGCATTCCAGACCCACGTACATTTTGGCACGTCCCACTTGTCTTTCCAGTTTGACTACATCTCTGTCTCCTTCTTTGTCACTTTCTCTGTCTGTTAACTTCAGATGTCTAGGTGAATTATAAGCTACTTTTGAAGATGTCCCCCTTTACCTGTGTTAAGTGTTAATTAGATGTCTTTTTAAAGTTAACGAGCAGTTTGCGCACAGAGGACATTTTTCTTCTTCGTGAAAGCAGTCAAAAAATATCTAGCATTTTTTGGTGATGAAAGCTGGCTGGTAAATATTAAACTATCACTATCAGCAACCGGAGACACACTGAATGGAACACTGGGCTGTGCGGGTTGTGTCATAATCTTGTTGACAGATGAAAGTTGATTCCTGATTTCAAAAGGCTTCTTTTGGTATATTCTGGTAATTTACTTGTCACTCATTTGTTATTGTGTGGTAGGACCGTCCCTTTTGGATAAACGGTGTGAAATTCCATGTAAAAAATCATACTGAACAGCCTAATATTTAGATAGTTGTTGTTACTAAAGTCAATATGTGTTGAGGTAGGTTTTGTGTCTCGGTCCATGCATAAGTACACAGTGAGAGTTGTGTTAGACTACAAGCTTCCTGTCCAAAGGGCCACTGTTCTAGCTGCAAGCCATTTGCTTTGGACTTTAGTTGGATTGGCACTCACAGCAGGCGTTAACAGCACAGCGTTATTCAAATAGAAAGTGCAAGCTAAACTGCAGTTTTTCTCCCTTTCGAGATACAAAAAGTCTGCTGCTCTGGCACCCGGCTCACTCTTTTCCCGTTAGTAATGCAATGTCATCCTCCTATTTTTTCCCCCCAGGTAACTCTCATATGTCTGATAATCTCAGTTAAAAGAAAGAGGAAAAAAATACCCCCCCCCTCCTCCTCCTCCATCACACACACACACCTTGTGTAGGTGTACCTGCAGTGAGATCAGTGTTGGATTTTGATCAAGTTTCAAGTGTAGCAGAGCTGAGAGTTGTAAGGTAATATTATTAAAACCCGAAGGGAAAATTCTGCCTCCAGCTGTGGCTGATCACGTTACATTGTTAAAGTTTGACACAGATACAACTATGCATAAGATCATACGTATGGCATTTAGGAAAACTTTGTATAGTTTCGTATTTTTGTACAAAGCCTTTCTAGAACTGCTGGGGACGTGTTATGTTTCTTATGTTGTTTGTGTGCATATGTTCCGTGAGTTGCTTGATCTGTCTATATCTCATGGGATTGACCTTGGACATTCCCTCCCTCCTTATCATCTCTATTTGCACCTGCAACTGCACATGGCACAAAAAATGTTGTTTGAAAGGGAATATTCAGAGGAAGTCTCCATCTTTACAGGATTGTTTGTTATTGCCATTGTTGTGGCAAACTTGTTTGTCTTGGTGAAATGTTAGCACTTGCGACATTTAACTGTCAGAGTGTGAAAATAGTTCATCCCACATGTGGCAAGGCTGCGGTTTTACCACAGCCCTGCTTTCAAAGTCATAAGCAGAGGAAGCAGTTTGCATCTAAAGGAGGGGGGACGTGAAAACATGTGCATCTGCTTGTTTTACTCACACTTTACACAGGCACAACAGAAGCGTGAGGCTGTTTGACCGATGATGATTTATTCTAGTCATTTAAACAAGGAAACCAAACTCGACACTGACCTTGTGGTAAACGTTTCAACATTCTGTCAAAGTTTTAAAAACTCTGAAATTTAGGAATGCTGTTTAATGATAACTTGTGCCGAGACGCTGTCAATTCACAAGAGGAAAATGAGGCTCTCTACTGCGTCAGGTCAAGGCCATTCCCAGCGTGAGGAGAAAGATTAGAAGTTTGTCCATCCCGCATGCAGGTTTGAAGCCTATTTCAGACAATTGTTCAAAGTACTGTGTGCATCATGCGGCACAATTGTCCCATTTGGTGCCATCTGGCTTCGAGAAACCTTTTCTTTGGATCTCAGTCCCAGTTGTTTGTGTCGGTTATGTGTCCCCTATGGCTCAAATCTCCCCCTGGAGTCACTAAAGAATGGTAATCACTAACCTCAGAGCCTACACTCTGCACATTTCTGAGTGAGGCATGCAACATGACATCATGGCCTGCTCTGCAGATGCACCCAGCAACACTATCCAAGTCCAATGAGCCTCAGGGGACTTTCACTATCACCAAAGAGGATATCATAGACTGTCCTGTTTTTTGTGATTAGTTAAGAGTTGTTATATTTTGATAAATTAATTTAAATAATTTGTCAAACAAAATGTCCATTAAGTTTTTTTATTCTTGTGTAGAAGCAGTGGTGACGCGTAGTTCATATCTTGGTGTGTTATCAGGATGTTATGCCTCTTAACATAACATCTTCCTGCTCCCCTCCTCTTCTCTTTGGTTTAATCTCAATAATGTACCAGTTGTGAACTTTGCAGCAGAACTGTGAAATGGAGAAGTCAGATTCCACCGATGGGTGCCTTTGATGATGTCTTCTGTGTGGAGATGGTCTAAGAGAAGGTCATAAAAGCAGACAAATTGATGGAGGTGGTTTGCCTATTCTTTTGAAGCATACATGGGTGAAGGCTTTCATAAAGCAAGTGAAGGTTGGGTAACAGACAGGATGTTAAGTGTTTATAGAGTCAGTCATTTTATTTAAACAAGAAAAGAAACCAGGAATGGCTGAGTATGGAGGTATGACCTAGGATTGTTTAGCATGTAATGACTACCAGTCTTTGCTGAGTCCAAGACTCTGCTTTGGGCCTCTGCTGTCCCCTGTGGAAACTTCACAAATTTGAAGGAGACTATTGCTAAAAGAGTATCCCACTTTTTTTAAAAGTAAAGGGTAAGAAAAAGTGATGTTGCTCTCCTATGTAAAGTTTAAAGTGGTGAGTGCAAAGAAAATAAAAACAAAAACAAAAAAAATCCTTCAGCACACCTGATGGATAAAACAGAGGTGGAAGGAAGTTCAAAGTTCATCAACGCTCTTTATAGAGTTTGGTCAATATGAACAAGCAGTCAAGTCAATGACATCATTGTTTTTCCTTCTGTGTTATCAGCGTGGAACATCTGCATAGAAAAGGTGTGTATCTCTGGGATGTATAAACAGGATTGAATCAAAGACAGGACATGGTCAGTGTTTGCTGCTCCTTGGACTGGAGCACAGTCGGCCTTATAAACAGAAACAAGTATGAATGGAACAGGGTTTCAATTGTAAAGCTGAGATCTTGTCAAATTCCTCATCAGTCTGGACTGATCAGTAATCGTTAGAGCCAATCAAATGATTGACAATGGAATGGCTTCTTTGTGAGCCGCACAGTCCATCTCAGAGCATGCCGTGTTTGTGCCGTGCTTTGCCTGCTGGCAGCCAGTGGATCAAATCAGCTTTTCATAAGTAGTTTCTGAGAGAGAGTTCCAGACAAGCTAGAATCTGACTCAGTCATGCTCTTCACTGCTTGTTTAGTATCTTAAAAACTAAACCATTTTCTTCACTTTTTTCTTATAGAAAATGAGAGCTTTTGTACTTTATTTAAAGACATTTTTTCAACAACAGTCTTTTAAAACGTCACAGACATCAACCGAAGTTGCAGGCTATTGATGGAAAACCAAGCATTATAGGCTCTGGTTATCGTCCAGGTACCCACAAATGATAATCTTATCCTTAGATTGCTCAGCACACAACAACAGATGACGAGAGGCTCGAACTTTGCCTTATAGACTGTATGTGTAATTCTGAAACATTTGATAAGAGATACTAGGACCACATGACAATCTGCGTCCCACTTAGTAAATGTTGGTGTTGCATCTGTCTACATTTTATCACTGAACACGATCCCAGGAGCTATGAACCACACAGACAGGATTAAGTCTGGCGGCATATTTGTTCAGATTACCTGCAGATAGTCATCATTATCAAAGGCTTGTTAGGGGGTAAAATAGGAAGGCTGGGGGTAAAATCCAGTACCATGAACTGTTGAGACAACACTGGCCGAGACAGGCCCTGATTTTAGTCTTGCTCTGACATATACTTAAAGCTTAGTACCAGATGCAGCATGTTCCAAGTGCCTGGACGTGCCCAAAAGTGCTTTGAAACATTTAGCGATGACTCTAACTACTAGTTTAATGTATTATTAGTAAACAATGGAGGAGCACATACCACTGAAACGTTGATTACTTGTTTTTGTTAAAAGCCTCAAAGAGGTGCAAGTGATGGAGAGCTCCACAGTAGCCAAAAGGGTTATTAAATGGTTTGGAAAAAAAAAAGATTTACAAAGCACGCATAAATTATTTCACGTTATGGATTCATATCACAAGAATGTGCCAGTTTGATCCTCAGCACTGATATGGAAAATGCCCCCATAGATTCCCATTTGTTTGTGATTGTTTGTTAGAAAAGTGAAAAATAGTATAAAGAAAATAAGAATATATCTGAGAACTTCTGTTGGACAGAGAAACATTTTTTAAGTGATTTGTTGAGAAGACTTCTCTCCAAGCAGCCAGTTGGTATTGGGTGTGTTGGCTTGAATGAACATACTTTTCAGATCAGCTGTGTTATTTTTGGACAGGATGGCAGTTCCGACTATGAAAGTTACATTTAAAACTAAAAGAGCTATCCCATCTTCGCTGTAAAACCGCAATCTCTTTCAAAGAGAAACCTAAAGTTTTGGGACACTGCGTAAGACATTCTAGTAATCTGTGGTGTTTTGTTCCAAAGAGACCATTTTCCCCATCGTTCTTTCAAGCCCTTTCTTTTAATTGCACAGTTTTGCTCCGCTGGCTCTGTAGGTATTTTACATGACCTCAGACATCTGGCATCAAACAGGAAGCATGGCTGTTTTTTTTTCGTGTTCTGTCACCCGCCATTCATCAGTGTTAAAATTAAAGTTTACCGCCATGCTTCCTGTTGTTAAGTCTGAGCATTCTCGCCGGAGAGCTGAAAGGGTTCCTTTTAGGTGCTGACATGCACATTCTTCCCTTTCGGGCACCTTTTAAACACCAGGGTTGTTGTTTATGGTGGCAACCGTTGGTTCATATGTCGTCAGGTTTAATTTGAAGTGCCATGTGGAACAAAAACACTATACCAACTCTATAATGCAGTTTTTTATGTAGGTTAAATGCCTTTTATTCTGCTGTACCTGGGGACATCTTTATGAGTATAATGACCATTCAAGAATGTTGTTCTGTCTTGTATACTTGGTCAATGTTGTTATGTCAAAGTGAATAGGAAGACGGCAACATTTCTTCTTTTACACCCCTCAATATCCCAAACGCCCTCCTCCACGCTGGGTGCTGTCACAACATGACTAAGCCCGAGGAAGAATGCAGACTGCTCCACAGCGTTCCTCCTGTCAGTGCCTTCCCCTTCTTCTGGCTCATTTGACAGATCCAACCAATTAATGGCCTTTTAGTGATTAAGCAGTCTGTTTGCGTGGTTTTTGAGACCGTTAAGAAGGAAAACCTGGCAGGTTTAGCATGGGTATTTAAAAAGGTATTTCATATTTACGAGTCAAACCTGCAAAGAACAACCCAAACCATCAGCTGTCATTGATAGCTGGAAGCCAAGCAGCCCACAAAAGCAGTCTGTTACGATCAAGGTGCCTGTTTGATTCTTCTTTCTTCTTTATTTTTGATCGTTTTAAAAATGTTTTTTGAAATTTTAACAGAATTAGGATTTAAGACTTTAATTATAAAGTTATCTTATACAATTATCTCAAACAGCTTTCCAGACTTCTTCCCTTTTTCTAACCTTATGGTATAGCTTATTGAATTCTATTCAATTTTTTTTTTTAGATCAAGAACTAAAACCAATCTCTTAAAAATGCATGTGCACCTTAATTTCAGTGCTTAGTTAAAGTCCCTTTGGCAGCAATTATAGTGTCTTATCTTCTTTGGAGAGATACTGAAGGCTTTGTGGGCCTGGATTTGGGCAGTTTATCCCATTCTTCCTGGTAGATCCTGTCAAGCTTTGTCAGGTGGGATAGGGAGTGTTTGTGTGCTGGTGTCTTAATGTCTCATCATAGACTTTATGTGGAGTAAAAATCAAAGCTTTACCTGGGTCCCATACCGACAGACGTTCACCTTCAAACTATTTGACCTCTGTCTGTTCTGTGTGCTGTGATTTACTGTTCTCCTGGCAGGTGAACGTTAGCCCTGCTCTCTTTTCACATGCTCCCTTAAGGGCGTTTTCTTCACATTACCCCCTTATCAGGCTTAAATCTTCTTACTTGAGTTCCTCCTTCTTCTTCCTGGCTCACTGATAAGGTTTCTGATAAGTTGATATTTCACACAGCACCATGGTGTTGCCACCTGTAAATGTCCTTTATAAGAATAAACTCACATTGTATTTAACTTTTTCTTATAGTAGTGGCAAATTAGAGTTAATAAAGATTCAGTTGAGTGCAGATAAAGAGGAAGCACCTTCAGTCTGCAGCTGATCAAATGTTAACTGAGGCATTTACCCCACCCCAAAAGGCATGTGCAAGATTTCAAAATATGTTCTTTCCGCTTTCTTTTTATAGTTGGTATTGCTTGATCGCTTTCTCTGGGCTGGACCGATGGGGTCCCTCTATTATTCAGATAGAGCTAAGGGAACCCTGTAATAAACCAGAATTTTTTTTCTGAGGCTATTTACATTCTGATGTTATTCTAATTCCTCTCAATAGTTTCATGGCCACCAAAACTATTTATATTTTCGAGTAAAATTCCACTAGATACTGATGGAAGTTGATTTTTAAAAACTAACTTCACAATTTCACCCTGGTACATATACTAGCTGCATGATTTCTTTTTTGTTGAATTTCTATGTTTCCATTTTTGACAACACCAAAGGTGACTAATATTAAATGTTGTTTGTTTGTTTGGAACTATATATTCTTAAAGCGTGTATAAACTAACCATGAGAGAACCTTTTATGTTGTTAGTTTTCAGAACTATTTCAGTGCTATTTTGATTGACCAGCCACTACTTCCCAGTGGCAACCAGTGCTTTTAAGCTGCGTTTAACTTTATTAAAACAGGGCAGCTCCTCAGGTCATTTGTGCTCCGCGTGGGCGTGTGCTGGGCGCAGTGCAGTAAGCACGCTACGGGAGCAGTGGTTTCAAAAGACAGGCAAACCGTATGTCCTAGAAATTAGGTCACCTTGTTAGGTGGAGGGGCAGGATTAGCCTCTTACTCCCGCAGTCCATATGTCTGAGCTGCTGTTACAGATTAATTTTACTGTCATTCTTTTTTCTTTTTTTTCATTCTGCTTTTAAAGTTGGCACAAAAATTCATCTTCACTGCAGTTTTAAAGTGGTCACTGAAGTCAAATGTGGTCACGTTCATTCTTTCAACCATTAAATACATTAACTGGGCTATTCATTAGTAAAGGGGGAAAAGCTCTCTTTAAGCTGTCAGTGTAGAGATCCTAGACTTAGTGGCATAGCTTACCTGTAGAATAAAGTGTGTAAGTCCTTATTAGTACTTGTTAGCTGTCTGCAATCAGAAATAATCAAAATGCTATTGTGCATTGGTCCTTATTTTGAGCAAAATTGATTCCCTGTATGTGTTTATACCCCAGAGACCAATATAGTTGAGGCCAGAGGCAGCCTGGAAAGCAGTTATTTCTCAGAGCTCTGGCAAAATCTCTTCAAAAAAAGTCTCCTATTTCTCTCGCTTCAAACTACCATCTACTTGACCTTGCTCAGGCTTGGCCAGTCACCATAATTATCTAACGTGGAACGCGTCGGATATGATAAAACTGTGCAGAGGAGTGCTGCTAAGACATGCCGTTCAGCACTCCGTCACAAGTTTATTTTCTCTGAATATTTGCAGGTTTTTTCCAGTGTCATTCCGATGCATGTGGTCCACAATTATTGATAGAAATCAAAAATGAACTCTGAGACTCCAGAAGGATTAGCAAAGCTGCATATCAGTCCAATGATGCCAGACTTGATCCCTATTATCTCAGTCATCTGACTCAGTTTATCACATTGCTGTAATGGAAGCTTATCCCTTTTTTTGTTTTTTTATTTGCAGATGAACGTGAAGCAGTTCAGAAGAAGACTTTTACCAAATGGGTGAACTCTCATTTAGGCCGAGTAACCTGTCGCATCGGTGACTTGTACACAGACCTACGGGATGGCCGTATGTTAATTCGCCTTCTGGAAGTGCTCTCAGGAGAGCAACTGGTCAGTACTGTTGAGAAACTACTCCTTTCGGAGCCCCTGACCTGATCATGCACCTCAAGTCAGGAAGGAGAAATCATGTGCTTCATTTTTTGTTGAATGCCCCACTTCTCCTTCTTTGACTTGTTTCCCCCTGCCCTACAACTCCCTTTCTGCCCTTCTTCTCTTGTAATTGAAGATAACTAATTTTTTCTTTTGCCCCCCACAGCCAAAGCCCACTAAGGGTCGCATGCGTATCCACTGCCTTGAGAATGTTGATAAAGCCCTACAGTTTCTAAAAGAGCAAAAGGTCCATCTAGAAAATATGGGCTCACATGATATCGTGGATGGGAATCACCGCCTCACTCTGGGTCTAATTTGGACCATTATCCTTCGTTTCCAGGTAACAACTTATTGTTATTATTGTTATTTAGAATCTCTGAATGTCTAATGATGTTGGAATTGTGTGAAATGACTTTGATGCACTTTAAAAAACAGATCCAGGACATCAGTGTGGAGACAGAAGACAACAAGGAGAAAAAGTCAGCCAAAGATGCCCTGCTGCTTTGGTGCCAAATGAAAACTGCCGGGTGAGAAAAGAACAGCATCAGACACATTTGCGTTGGTGTTGTCACTTGACGGGTTATTGATGAATTTAGTTGTGTGGAGCTAATGATTAATGATTTCTAATCTCACCTCTGCAGTTATCCCAATGTCAACATCCACAACTTCACAACCAGCTGGAGAGATGGACTGGCGTTCAATGCCATCGTGCATAAACACAGGTCAGTCAGATCTTTCTGAACGTACTGTTACTACTGAGCATGTTGGCCATCTTAGGAGTTCATGTACTTTAAATTAAAGTTTTTTATTTCTTTTAGATAATGATTATAGATTAGCGCTGTGCAGATAAATAAGAATACACATTTTTTGAAGTTGTATTTTTTTGGGCAGCTAGAGTTGCATCGCAGCTTCCTTTCTTTAGGGTATTCTTATCCCATTTTCTATTTAGGTCTCCCTCTATTCTTTAGTCTGCGATAAAAGGATGGAAATGAAATAAGGAGTAAGTTGACCTAGATCAGATGACAGAAATAATAACCTAGTTGTTTTATGCTTGCCAACTCAGTTGGACTCCCTGTCGTTAACAGGACCATTCATGACACAGGTTTGATAAAAACATAAGCTGAAAGCCAAAGGGTGCGGTCTAAACGTAGGGAGTGTTGATGAATGAATTAATCATTAGTTACAGTCAACTCATACAATGAAGGTGAAACATAATGCACTGCTTCACTGTAGTTCTTACTGGCGAGTCACACTACAAAACACCGTGTAAATCTGTCTTATTAAGTTGATGTATTCTTTTATCTTTGTATGGGATTAATCAGGTTTCATGTGTTCAAAATGTTCTTCGGAGTAAAATGTATCATATGAATGTAAATTCATGTTTATTGATCATTACATTTTATTGCTTTATTAATTAATTCCTATAGAGAGTCTGTCCCCATTAGTTTCTTGAAAAATCAGCTCTTATTGAACGTACCTGTCCTCTACAGACCTGACGTGATTGAGTTTGACAATCTGAAGAGGTCCAATGCTCACTACAATCTCCAGAATGCTTTCAACGTGGCAGAGAAGGAACTGGGACTTACAAAGCTGCTGGACCCAGAGGGTGAGGGGTGAAGACAGTTTTCCCACATTTCAGGAACCAGCATACAACAAACACCATTGCTTTCTCTGTTTTTTAGACGTTAATGTGGACCAGCCTGATGAAAAGTCCATCATCACCTACGTTGCCACCTACTACCATTACTTCTCTAAGATGAAAGCGCTTGCAGTGGAGGGCAAACGAATTGGCAAGGTAAGCTTTGTGTTTGTCCGTGTGTGTAATAGTAGTGGGCGAGTGTAAGGTACATTCATGTGTGTAGAAAATTATATGAACTATTTGTGTGTAGGATCATTTTAAACTTGCCACAAATTGACTGAATGAATCATTGCTGTAACTTCAGGTACTGGATTATGCTATTGAAGCCGACCAGCTGATAGAAAAATATGAGACCCTGGCATCAGAGCTGCTTCAGTGGATTGAACAGACCATTGGTACACTCAATGATCGTCAGCTAGCTAACTCTCTGAGTGGTGTTCAGAACCAGCTTCAGGCTTTCAACTCCTACAGGACAGTAGAGAAGCCCCCGAAGTGAGTGCCAGCCAAAATAAACGAACCCAACGAATGAGTTTGTGATTTGAAATTAGCTAAGCGTCCATGGTGTGTTGTCTGTTCAGATTCACGGAGAAGGGGAACTTGGAGGTCCTCCTCTTCACAATTCAAAGCAAGATGAGAGCAAACAATCAGAAAGTCTATATGCCAAGAGAGGGCAAACTCATTTCTGATATCAACAAGGTAAGAGTTGGTCTAAAAAAGATCAAAAAGCATGTGTCAACAAATCCTAATTCACTAAATATACATGAATCAAACAGAAAACATCATGTGTGATCTGCGGAATGATACAGGTGTCCTGTATTTTCCCTTAAATGGCAGGCATGGGAACGACTGGAAAAGGCAGAACATGAGAGGGAGCTGGCACTGAGAAATGAATTGATCCGCCAGGAAAAGCTGGAGATGCTCGCCGCTCGATTCGACCGGAAAGCAGCTATGCGGGAAACATGGCTGAGCGAAAACCAGAGGCTTGTGTCTCAGGTAGGAAAGCTTACTTTGTTATTAAGGACTAATGATAAGGGTATATGGCTCAAGGTGCATTTAAATATATACTTTAAAGACATTGGGCTTATAATTAGGCTTTTCCTTTGTTTCCAGGATAATTTTGGAATGGACTTAGGGGCTGTAGAGGCTGCAACCCGTAAACATGAAGCGATCGAGACGGACATCGGGGCATACTGGGAACGTGTGGCTGCTGTGGAGGCTGTTGCCAAAGAGCTTGAAGCAGAGGGATATCATGATGTGCGGCGTATACTGGCACGAAGGGATAACGTGCTTCGACTCTGGGAATATCTTAAAGAGCTTCTAGCTGCACGCAGAGAACGTCTGAATTCCCATCGTGACCTACAAAGGCTATTTCAAGAGATGCGCTACATCATGGACTGGATGGCAGATGAAAAGGTAAAAACACACACAAAAACAATTTTAATAACCCTTTAACATTGTTTTAACATGTAGTGAATTATTGTGTTTTTTCCTGATTTGTGTTGCTAAAGTTTTTGATTACCTAAAGATAGTTTCCTAATCCTCTCCATTAATATAAATGATGCCCAGGCATGTCTCTAACAGCTTTAGTGCTGGCACTTAACAACAGTAATTAGCTTTTTCCAGTCTGATTGGTGTTGCCTGTCATTGGTGGCTTTACTGAGGTTGACCAAGGTAGACTCCTAATCACTGGAAGGACTAAAGGAGTTAAATCTGGAGATTCTGTTTCTTTATACTGTAATCTTTTTCAAGCACGATTCTGCCACTCTGAAAAGGCTGGCATTGCCTGACTGCCATGGGCACAGTGTTTGACTCATTATGAATAAAGCAGCCAAGGTTACCACACAGTTTCTTTATGTTAAATGTGCAATGATTTAGAAATTCACACACATAGAAACAACACGCACACGCACACTAATTAATTACTTGCACTATCAGGACAGATTTATGTGATTGTTTAATTTTAACCTAGTATTAAGGTTAAAGATTAATTGGTTGAATTTGTATGCCTCGAGGAGAACAATTGCATGACAGTACATGTTTTAAATTAGTATTTTTCTTTCCTATAAGTGGAGCAGTTTGGTGTGGGTGCATGCATAGACGTTTTAGACGCCTTTAAAATGGTAGTTTTTTAATGTTTTAAACTTGTAAATATCTGTCATGTGGACCTGATTAATAAGTAGCTCCATCACCTCTGTCCTCCTCCTCATCACCCTCTCTCAACCTTTAAAATAAACATTGTGCAATTATCTGCCTTTGAGCTTTGACTCATGCTACAGTTAGAGTTCAGGTTTTTTTTTCATTCCTCTCTTTCTTTCATCATGTACTTGTCTACTTTTCAGTAGTGGCTGGAGCCGCATTATAAATGTCTCAACAACACATCTATTATAATAATAATCTTAGTAACTCTTTAAAGGCAGTTTTTAACATGATTCTGCCCTTTTTGTTGACACTGAACTGAGTAAAGTTGTTTTATTTTTATTTTGATGAGTTAAAGCAGAATTATTTACAGCTCATAATATACTTTAATATACTTTATAACTCATAAAGTATCGGGATATATGTATTCAGAAATGTTGCCTTTCCCCTCCCTTATTTGTCTTATTGTCAATTTTGTGTGTTTTTTCTAATCTTTTTTTTCGTTTGGAGAAAAAAAAAATGTTAATGCTTTTCTCAATTTCTCCCTTTTAAGGGTCGCCTGCAGTCTCAGGACAGCGGTAAACATTTGCATGATGTGTTAGACCTGCTACAAAAGCACACTCTGGTGGAGGCTGACATTTCAGCCCAGGCAGAGCGGATAAAAGCCGTTCAGGGAGCTGCACAGCGCTTTAGCTCCCACGAACAGAGTAAGTTTTTGATCACAGTTTTGCATATTGCGGTTCTTTTTGTTAGTAACATCTAAACGGATGTACTCCCAATTTAACTCATTTCCAGCTTACAAACCTTGTGAACCTGGACTAGTTAGTGACAAGGTTGACCTGCTTGGTCAGGCCTATGACGAACTCGGTCAGCTTGCAGCGACTCGCAGAGAACGCCTGGAGGACTCGCGTCGTCTCTGGCAGTTCCTGTGGGACCTTGGAGAGGAATCGGCCTGGATCAGAGAGCAGGAGCAGATCTTAGCAAGTGGAGACTGTGGGCGTGACCTCACATCTGCCCTTCATCTACTCAGTAAACACGAGGCCTTCAGGGATGAGATGGCAGCCCGTTACGGCCCTCTGAGTAACAGTATTGCTGCTGGAGAGGCTTTGGTGACAGAGGGGCACTTTGGAGCTTCACAGGTCACAGAAAGGATTCAAGACATCCGTGCACAGTGGGCTCATCTTGAGGAGGTGAGTATCCTTAGAATTCATTAAATTGTCATTCTTTCTGTAATTTAAAGTTGTTTACAGATGTTTTTCATTCTAATAATGTTCTTTATTCCTTTTTTTTTCAGACGACTAAGCTCAGAGAGCAGAGCCTCAAGGAAGCAGTGGCCCTGAACCAGTTTCAAACAGATGCCAGTGACATGGAGGCGTGGATTATGGAGACACTCAGACAAGTGTCCAGTCAAGAGGTTGGCCACGATGAGTTTTCCACCCAAACTCTAGCTCGCAAGCAGAGAGAAGTAGAGGAGGAGATCCAAAGCCACCGGCCTCTTATAGATTCCCTGCATGAGCAGGTCCAAGCACTGCCACAGGCCTACATGTGTTCTCCTCAAGTATGTGTGCTTTGGATTTCAGAGTTCCTTCATGATGACACGTTCTCTCTGGTACTAAATTACTGTTTATGACTGACTGCAGGTGGATGGTCGTCTGCCTGCTATCGAGCAGCGCTACGAGGAACTGGAATCTCTGTCAGCAGGTCGGCGCCAGGCTCTGGAGGGTGCCCTGGCCCTCTATCGCATGTTCAGTGAAGCTGATGCCTGCCAGCTCTGGGTTGAAGAAAAGGAACAGTGGTTATATGGCATGGAGATCCCAACCAAACTGGAGGACTTGGAGGTGGTACAGCAGAGGTCAGTCTGTTTTGAAAGGAGGGGAAACTCAATTAATTTCCCTTAAAACCTTTTCAACCTTCATAGACTTTTCTAAGTCTATTAAAGTTTTCTAATATATTTGTGAAAGGAAGAAAAGTTAAGTGTTAAAGAAATTTGAAAATAGAAGAACTAGTACATGATCCTGTAACTCTTTACAGCTATCAGTTTTACTGCTTTGTTATATCTGGAAAGAAAAACCTTTGAGAACCAGTTCAATGATAATTATCTTGTCATTTACAAATGCAGATTTGAGACACTGGATCCTGAAATGAAGAATTTAGGCACTCGTGTCACCGATGTGAACCAAGTGGCTGAGCAGCTGCTGGGCTCAGACAACAGTAGCAAAGACCAAATCCACCAGACAAAAGACCAGCTGAACAACAGGTCAGAGCAAGCATTTAGGACCTGGCACTTTGCATTACCATAAAGTGTTATGTATGTGGACATGATGCAATAAACTTTATAGTAGTGCATTAAGCCTTTTCTTTTATCTCTTTTTAGATGGAAAGAGTTTGAGCAACTGGCTGGTCAAAAGAAAATTGCCCTAGAGTCTGCTCTTAACATCCAGAACTACCACCTTGAATGTAATGAGATCCAGACATGGATGAAGGAAAAGACCAAAGTGATTGAATCTACTCAGAGCCTGGGCAACGACCTGGCAGGAGTGATGGCACTACAAAGAAAGCTCACTGGAATGGAGAGGGACCTTGAGGCCATTCAGGTATGAAGGGATCAGATGCAGCAGTTTTGGATGGGAGATGGGAACAGAATAATAGAGACACACTTTAAAGTTCTTGTATTGATTTTTTTATACAAGCTGATACAATTTCCTAATGAAGACATATTTTTTAAATATATTTTAGGGAAAACTGGATGACCTGAGAGGTGAAGCTGAAAAGCTGGCAAGTGAACATCAAGATCAGGCTGAAGAGATCCAAGGACGTTTGGCTGAGATTCAGGAAGTGTGGGAGGAGTTGAATGCGACCATGAAACGACGAGAAGAGTCACTGGGAGAAGCCAGTAAACTTCAGGGCTTTCTCAGGGATCTAGACGACTTCCAGTCCTGGCTATCCCGCACTCAGACAGCTGTAGCCTCAGAGGACATTCCTACCTCTCTGCCTGAGGCTGAGAGTTTGTTAGCCCAACATGAGAACATCAAGAATGAGGTTGACAATTATAAGGAAGACTATGAAAAGATGCGGGCTGTCGGAGAAGAGGTTACCCAAGGCCAGACAGATGCCCAGCACATGTTCCTGGCCCAGAGGCTTCAAGCACTGGACACTGGCTGGCATGAGTTGCGTCAAATGTGGGAGAATCGACACAATCTTTTGGCCCAAGCCTTTGACTTCCAGACTTTCCTGAGAGATGCAAAGCAGGCAGAGGCTTTCCTCAACAGCCAGGTTAGCATACTGCGGTATTGAAATAAGGCCTGTGTCTTCTGCAATACGTACCAAATCTAAAGCTTCAGATCTGCCATGACGTGAAAAAAATATTCCGAAATAAAGTATAGGAAACTTCAGGCTTGAGAAATATTTCAGTATTCGAATATGGTATGAATTATAAAGTTCGAAGCAGCCGCAAGTTACACTTGTAACCTGCGGCTGCTTCTAACTTTAAATCTTCATTTAAAAAAAAACACTTTTTGTTTTCTTCAAAAGATTGAAATTATATAAGTAGCATTGCATTCCATGTGCTAATGAATCTTGTCTGTGTGTAGGAGTATGTCCTGTCCCACACAGAGATGCCCACCAGTCTTCAGGCAGCAGAGGAGGCCATTAAGAAGCACGAGGATTTCCTCACCACCACAGAGGCCAGTGAGGAGAAGATAACTGGCGTTGTGGAGGCTGGACGGCGCCTCATTAACGACTCTAATGCAAACTCTGATAAGATCCAAGAAAAAGTTGATTCAATCCAGGAAAGGTTAGAGCTGACATGAACGATAAGAGAAAAATGTTTTTCTTTGCCATGTTTGAAGAATAGATATTAAATGTTCTGCTTATTTCCCTCAGGCATCATAAGAATAGGGAGGCTGCGAACGAGCTGCTGACTAAACTTAAAGATAACCGTGAACTTCAACACTTCCTCCAAGATGGACAGGAGGTAGCAAGATTTTTTTTGCAAAATGAAGTTGTAACAAAATGAAAAGAGTGACACAGCTAGACAAATAATAAACATGGATATGTTGCCTGGTTTTGTTGAGGGAAATTGCTTGTTTAGTTGGAAGAATTATTAAAAGATAACTATCAATTGCTATCTTTCTCTGAAGCTCACGCTGTGGATCAATGAGAAGATGCTGACAGCTCAGGACATGTCTTATGATGAAGCAAGAAACCTTCACAGCAAGTGGCAGAAACACCAGGCCTTTATGGCGGAGCTGGCCTCCAACAAAGACTGGCTGGACAAGATTGATAAGGTTTGACCATAGTCATGTGTAAACTAAGCATTACAAAGCATCTTTATACATCAGCCTACTTGTTACCAAAGCTCTCTTTCATTAACTTTCTGTCATGTTTTGTCACCAACAGGAGGGTCAAGCACTGGTGGCGGAGAAGCCAGAGTTGAAACCTGTTGTCCAGCAGAAAATGGAGGACCTACAACGTCAGTGGGAGGAGCTGGAGGCCACCACCCGCACCAAGGCCCAGTGCTTGTTTGATGCTAACAGGGCAGAGCTGTTTACACAGAGCTGCTCTGCTCTGGATGTATGGTTGAAAAACATTGAGAGCCAGCTGCATAGCGACGATTATGGAAAAGATCTGACCAGTGTTAACATCCTCCTCAAAAAACACCAGGTAAATTATGAGGAGCAAGCACAGCAAAAAGATGAATAAAATTACTTCTGAAGATGGATTGAACAGCGCTAAAAATATATTTTCAATTTCCAACCTGGTTGTGATGGAATTAGTTTGTTGAAGTATGACTTATTTTGTTGTTTTCTTCATTGTCCCTGTGTAGATGTTAGAGCATCAGATGGAGGTCAGAGAGAAGGAGGTGCAGTCTCTGCAGTCTCAGGCTCTCGCTCTATCCCAGGAGGACGCAGGGCTGACCGAAATAGATGGTCAGCAAAGGCATGTCACAGACAGCTTCTCGGGCCTTCAGGAGCCTCTCAAACTGAGGAGACAGCAACTACTTGCCTCCAAGGAAGCACATCAGTTTAACAGAGACCTGGAAGATGAAATTGTGAGCATGGCTGCCCTCGTGACTTATTAATGATTAAATCAAAGCAATCCCACAGAGTTTTTGAATGATTCTTTTCTATTTTGTCAAATGCTTAGACTTTATTCACTGTGTTTTCTCTCAGCTTTGGGTGACAGAAAGGATGCCTTTGGCCACCTCCACAGACCATGGAAAAGACCTGCCCACTGTACAGATGCTAATCAAGAAGAACCAGGTACAGTCATGATTGTAGAAATGTTAACAATTGACATAACTATGAATTACGAACACATTTTAAAAAGTCTATTCCACTTGCTGTAACTGAATCCATGCGAGTTGTAGAAACTGACAAACTACTTGTAAAGCTGAAAGTCTCTGTTGTAAATCAGACTTTGCAGAAGGAAATCCAAGGCCATCAACCTCGCATCGATGACATCCATAGACGAGGCCAGACTCAGAGCCAGGTGGATGGTGAACGCCAGTCTGTGTTAGAGGAGCGCCTCGTCGAGCTGAAAGACCTCTGGGACCAGCTGATTGCAGAGACGGACAAGCGTCATGGCCGTTTAGTCGAAGCCAATCGAGCTCAGCAGTTCTATGCTGATGCAGCTGAGGCGGAGGCCTGGATGGGAGAACAGGAGCTGCACATGATGTCAGAAGAAAAAGCTAAGGTAAATGAAACTAAGACAGACTATTGATTGCATCTCTCTTTGACAATCTAGTATCTTGTGGAGACTTCAGAATTTGCTGCATCTTTTTTCCAGGACGAGCAAAGCGCTGTGATGATGGTCAAAAAGCACCAGATCCTGGAACAGGCACTTGAAGACTATGCCCAGACCATTCACCAGCTAGCCAACAGCAGTCGCCTCATGGTTAACAGTGAGCACCCAGAGAGGTCAGAGAGCGCACGCCGTTTGGAATCCTCCGTTTTTGCAGAAGTCTTTTAAAAAATGACATGTCTGTCTGACTCTTGTTTTCAATCATATAGTGAAAGAATCACGTTGCGACAAGCCCAAGTTGACAAGTTATATGCAGGTCTGAAAGACCTTGCTGAGGAGCGTCGTGGGCGGCTGCAGGAAAGACTGCGGCTGACCCAGCTGAAGCGGGAGGTGGATGACCTGGAGCAGTGGATTGCTGAGAGGGAGGTGGTTGCTGGCTCCCATGAACTAGGACAAGATTATGAGCATGTCACAGTGAGTTATTTTCACATTCACATTCTTTTGAAGATATGAAAGCTATGGGAAATTCAGCTTAATTAATTCTGCGGCGCCCTCTTGTCCTGAATTTTCTGTCCACAGATGCTGAGGGACAAGTTTCGCGAGTTTGCTCGTGACACTAGCACTATTGGCCAGGAGCGTGTGGACGGTGTAAACGCGCTGGCAGATGATCTCATCGAGTCAGGCCATCCCGAGAATGCTAGTGTGGCTGAGTGGAAGGATGGTTTAAACGATGCCTGGGCTGACCTGCTGGAGCTAATTGACACACGCACACAAATGTTAGCGGCCTCCTACGAGCTGCACCGATTCCATCAAGATGCCATGGAGGTGCTCGGGCGTGTAAAGGAGAAGAGGGAAGCTCTGCCATCAGATCTTGGACGTGATCTGAACACTGTCCAGCATCTACACAGACAGCACAACACGTTTGAAAATGACATCCAGGCGCTGAGTGGCCAGGTCAGTCGTCACATCGGACACCTCGTCCTAACGTCACTGTGAGTGGGAGGATGACAAATGTCTCCTGTGTTTCTTTGAACGCCAGGTGAACCAGGTGCAGGATGATGCGGCTCGGCTGCAGAAGGCCTATGCTGGCGAGAAAGCTGATGACATTCAGAGGAGTGAGCACGCTGTGACTTCTGCCTGGGAGGGCCTGCTGGAGGCAGGTCAGGCCCGCAGGCTCCTCCTGCAGGACACGGTGGAGAAGTTCCGCTTCTTCAACATGGTGCGAGACCTCATGCTGTGGATGGATGGTGTCAACCTGCAGATTGATGCACATGACAGCCCAAGGTGGATGTTCTGAATAACAATTACAAAGATGAACAAAGCGATAATAAGCGGTTCATGTATATTTATAAAGACACTGTCTGTTTTCTGTAGGGATGTGTCCTCTGCTGGGTTAGTCATTGCCAATCATCAGGACATCAAGTCAGAGATTGAGACAAGAGCTGACAGCTTTACTGCCTGCACTGAGATGGGAAATGCTCTTATCAACAATAATCACTATGCTACCGATGAGGTATTTCACAGTTGTTCAAAGAAACCCAAGAACCGGTTTTCACAAACTTTGTTTTCAATTTTCTCCTTTCACATTTTTCCTCTTTGGCAGATTCAAGAGAAACTGGATCAGCTCCAGAAAAAGAGAGACAAGATCAACAAAAAGTGGCAAGACAAGATGGACCATTTACAAATTGGTATGCATTTTTAATATGTTTTACAGATTTTATAAATGTACATTCAGCATGAAAGGGCTATAGGCACATGCTCCAAATGGTCTGTCAGCAGTTTTGCAGTTTGTCTGTGCCAGCCCCCCTGCCCCAACACTGGCCTTACCAACATGGGCTGCCTGTGTTTTTACCACTGCACTGCAGCTGAAATATGCCTTTTAAGGAAGTTTGTGCATAGGAACAAGGCTCTTATACTTTTTTAATGCAGCTTGTACTATTTTCTTTTTTCTTTTCTTTTTTCCTAATGCGTGCTTATTTGTATTCAATCCCTTCTGCCTTCGCTCTGTGTTATGTCAGTGCTTGAGGTGCTGCAGTTTGGACGTGATGCCTATGTGGCAGAGTCATGGCTGGCAGGCCAAGAACCTCTGGTGCGAGCTGCAGAGCTGGGCGCAAACGTAGATGAGGTGGAGAGCCTCATCAAGCGCCATGAAGCCTTTGAGAAACTTGCCTCTGCCTGGGAAGAACGCTTTGTGCAGCTGGAGAAACTCACTACAGTAAGTAGAAACGTTTGGTTTGCTCTGAGATGACCTGGTAGAATAAAATAATTGTCTGCCGTCAATAATTCTTCACATCTCTGTTTTTTTGTTAAGCTTGAAGAACATGAGATCCAAAGGAGGCGAGAGGAAGAGGAGCGAGCAAGGCGACCTCCTACGCCACCACTACCACAAGAAGTGACACAGTCTGAGGGAGGAAGTCATGTACATGATTCTGCTGCCAGGTAAAGCAGAGGCAGGATCCGTAAAGCTTTATGGTGAATGTCTGTAGTAAGTGGTTTATAGTTAGTGTAATTTGCCTCCTCTTAAACACAGAACCAGCCTGGACCAGACCACACTGAATCAGTCAGTCTCAGTGAATGGAGTACACAGTGATAACGACACATCCCAGGTGAGACATACTTTGTCAATCCAAATTTCATTCAGCATGAATTATTTTGTTATCACATTGTTCTACTCTCACCTATTCCTAGTGTCAAATTAAGGTAGTAAAATTCTTCTTTTCCAAAGTTTTTGCGAAATAAAGTTGTCAAAGGATCAAACTGGGAAAAATGTACTATTACTTAATAGAAAAACCATCAGGAAAAGCAGCATTTTATGAACACCATTATTTGAATGACAAATACATCATATTTCATAATATATAATTATATGATTATATAATATTTAATTGTGTATGTCTGTCATTGTTCATTCAAGTAACATCAGCAACTTGTTTTTCCACGTCATAATTTTTAACATTGTTTTAAAAAAAGAAAAAAGTCTGACTTTTTACAATGAACATCTGTCAGAAGGGGGAGGGGTATGCATGTCATACAATCTTATTGAATCTCCTCAGAGGCAGATAAAACTTCTCCGTATTGCTTCCATGTCTGTATGGGGTGATGAAGGAATTTAAGCCCTGAATTAACCTTCCAGGTTTCTGCCACTGACTGAGACTCCTTAACAATTTGTCATTGCGTTTTTACCAGCAGTCATTATCGCTATCGTTGTCAGTGGAAAAGAAATCAGAGCCTAAACGTGTCAGTAAGCCAAAGCAGCTGGAGCGTGTGAGTACTAAGCCAGGGGCAGCTTTGTAGCTTCCCCTCACTCTCTTCACAGCCTCCACTCAGCTCCTGGTCAACTGCCGTGCTTCCCGTCCTTTAATAAGAAGCCATTGCTTCTCTGTCACAGATGCAGCCATTGCTTTATTTATTCATGAGCCACACAGTTTCATTAATGAGTGCCATTGCAATTCAAAAGGCATGATGCAGATTCATGAACAGATTGTTTCCATGGATCAAACACATCGCAGTCTGCTGCTGTGTAAGTGCTCGTATTGACCAGGACAGGAGTGACTGTAAATGTGGAGCTGAGAGTAAATGTGGTGATAAATGTAGCTGTTGGGTCGTATTTTATATGTAGCTGGTTGTATTCCTCCCTTCTGTGTGCTTTCCTTTTGAGTGTTGAAGCCCTTTGACAGAAGTGTGTTACAATGTCTAAAGAATCTTTGAGGAAAAACAGATTCACTAATGTCATCATTTTAAACATTCGAGTGCTTTCTTATTGTTCTTTTTGTCTTTGAATGTAGTTTTTGGTGTTATAATGGCTGATTCAAAGCTGTTACCTTTTTTAGATATCCCTGTAAACTTTTGTCCGTGTTTTTTGTTGCAGAATAGAACTGTTGTTTATTAGTTAACTGACCTGCAAAGTGATTGAAGACTTATGTCTATGAATGACATCTGTATTGTTTGTGCTTATAGATAAAACATAAAACAGTGTCTGTGCTGAGATAAAAAAATCAGCAAAAACTTGGATGAATTTATTTATGCCCATCTGATAGATTGGAGCGGGAATTTAGTGTCCCTGTCCCTTGTTCGTACTGTATGTCTGTCAGCACGTCTCACCCACGTGAGACCTTAATGTCTTGAGGAATCTCAGTTTAATTTGGTATTATGTGAAGCCACACTCTGTTGGTGTGTGCCAGTTATCGAGCATCAGTATGGCTTTTCATGTCTGGCTGTAAACGGCTGCTTTTGCTGCTCTACTCACATTTATCCAGTTCTGCATTTTTTCAACTGTTCACCACTGCTCTTGTCTTGGTTTGAACCTCAGGGCTCAGAGACTGAGTCAGTTAATGGGCCAGGGAGAGACAGCGGTTTGGCATCTTCTCGCATGGAGCCATCTGCAACTTTACCAAGCAGGGGTGGAGCAGAGTCTGAGCCTGAAACAATGGAGGGGATGCTCTGTCGAAAACAGGAGATGGAGTCCCACAGCAAAAAGGCAGCTACAAGGTGAGGATTTGGTCATGTACAACATACAAACAGAAGCATTGACTATTTCTCTCCCATTTGCTTTCTTTACTCTCACTTCATATTCGCTGACCAAAGGAAAAACTAATGTGTCTTAGTTTGTCTAGTTTTGTCCATTCAAATTAGATTTCTTAACACAAGTCTTTTGGCTATAAATGTAAGATTCCTGATAGCTGAAGCTTACTTTATGAAAAGATAGAAAAAGACTGTGAACACAATTTACTTTCTCATTCATGTGCACCCCTTTTTCTGACTTATTTCCTCCCATAGGTCCTGGCAGAATGTGTACTGTGTCTTAAGAAAGGGGAGTCTTGGTTTTTATAAAGACAATAAAAGTGCTAGCAATGGCATTCCATACCATGGAGAGGTGCCCATCAGCTTGGGAGAGGCTGTGTGCGAAGTAGCCCATGATTATAAGAAGAGGAAACATGTTTTCAAGCTCAGGTAAGAAAAAAACACTGTTATGATTGTTTTTGGAAAACAGCCAGGTGTCTTCATTTATCACATGGTTAATTTCTTAACCTTTTGTCTACAGACTAGGTGATGGGAAAGAATATCTATTCCAAGCCAAGGATGAGGTGAGATATGCAAAGTATACGTAAATACACACCAAAAATGTGCCTGCAGCAAAAGATCGATGAACGCTAATGAAGTATTGTCTGTTTCAAGGCGGAAATGAGCTCCTGGATTCGTTCCATCCTTGGCTCCATTCCAACCAGCTCGGGGGACTCGCCAGGAGGTCCCCGGGCCCTCAGCCGTGCCATGACAATGCCTCCCATCTCCCCAAGCTCAGGTGACACTGGAGGTGTCACCATGCGCAACAAAGAGGGCAAAGAGAAAGATCGCGAGAAGAGGTTCAGCTTCTTTGGCAAGAAGAAATAGAAACACTTGTAAAATAATCAATTTAGGATACGTCAATCAGAAATTCAACAGACTGTGGCTGACTGAGAGGAAAGTACACACAGGTCACACACATACACTGCACTCAGCACAGGCCCCATGGAGTTTGCCCCAAACCCTGTTTCCTTTATCTCTTTCTCACAGGTTTTATCTATCATTTAACTTGTGTTCATCCAGTCCATGTTTCACATTTTTCTGCACCCTACAATTAAAGCCCTCACCCAGTTTCAGGCTTTTCAGTCTGAGTACCACGTGTGGTTGGCTTAAGCTGGGATCTGGGCTCAGTTTGGCCCTGGTCCTCCAAAACAGGATAAACTGGAGTGTTTTCTCTCCGGTGAGTCTTGCTGAGCAGAGCTGTGTCCAGTAAGACAATGAACAGCAGCTTCCCATTCCACTCTCATCTCCTACTGCTGAACGCCCTCTTCTGGGAGGAATCACATTAGTCTCTTTTTATGTTCAAGGTATCGATGTTATTATTAACCTGATCAATATTGATATTATTATTACTATTTATCTTTTTGCAATTGCTGGTTTGACACAACTTAATTAGTAGATCATTTTGATTTATGTTGTGGAGAGAAATACATTTGGTTCAGCTAGTGCAGGATGTTGAGCTTGCCCTTGTATGTTTTTTTTTTTTTAAGTAAAAGAATTCTGAGGTGTTTGCAGCAAAATTCTTACATCTAGCTGTTTGCAGTAAGTGATTATGAGTTTCATCGGGAAAATGATATATATTTAATAAGTGGTTTTATTTTTTTTTATTATTTTATCTCTAATTTTGCCTGTATTTGATTATTTCTTTTGAGTGATCTTTTCTGCTTGATTTTCAACTTTCCTTTTTTTCTGTACAAAGCAGAGAAGATTAGTTTTCTAGTGTGCGTGTGTGTGTGAGTTGTGGTGCTGTGGATTTTGCATGTTTATTTGTTCCTGACCAACATGTGCAGATGGATGCCATTTTTCAGAGCTCAAATGCAGACAGAACCAGACTAAGACAAAGTAACGTTATTGGAATGATTTCATAAAACTTTTGGTTTCTGATCTACATAAACTGACATGACCATCGACGTTCCTCAAGACTCTTTTCCTTTCTTTTTCCAAGATCTATTTCCCCTCTCTTTGTGTACTGCTGTGAAGACATGGGGGCAGTTTTGTAGATAAAAAGTTGAAGCACATTTTTGTTTATTTTTGTGGCAGACTGCAGTGAGAAACGGACAGCTGAAAGATCTCATTACAGATGAAGAGAGGAGTGTTAAATTACATGCTTCCTGACAGATATAAGCCTGAGCTCTACTTGAACCCACTACATTTACAATCAAGCCTTTTTTTTACTTACTCACCCTCCATTCAAAAAGTCTAAAAGGAAGTTTTCTTAATAAAAGGATGTGAATGTTGAAAATGTGCCCTGTGGCAATGACCTAATGTATGTCAGTGGCTTATAAAGGCAGGTACAATGTGACTAATGGAAACAAGCTCTGCTCACAAGTGGTGGCAGAGGGGGGGAAAGTCCTTAATTGTAAAGTGTTCCCTCTTACATATGTGGCATGACTTAATGTAGGTTTATACTATATGTGCCGAATCATTGCCATTTATTCCCCTCTGTCTTGATGTACTCTAAAAACACAAGATCATCTTGTGGTCAGAATTGGAGACCACCCAATTTATTGTAATTGGCAGTAAAAATACATGAAGACAAGCTCAATTTAATCTAGTGTAGTTGATAAGAATAAAGTTAGCAGTAATGGGTTGGTTAGTTTCCTCCATGACGTAAATGTTTGAAATAAAGAAAAAGAACATTTACATTATCTTTTGAATGTAGACAGTAGCACAATTTTACATCAACTGAACAGAACTGAATTATCAGAAATCGAATGGCAATTTGCAATGTATAACAAATAAGTAATAACACTCCAAATCTGGTTATTAAATGGATTTGTATACGACTCGAGCGAGGAATGTCACACCAGACTGTGGTGATAGCACAACAGCTTGAAGGGTCGACAGGTTGGCCTTACATCCTCCTTTCAAATGAATATTCTGATTCCTCAGATCAGATACCCTCTGAATCAGGAAAGTGACATTTTCTGAACACGCAGATTGAAACAAACTGGGTTCGAGAAACAACGCGCATTCCAAACTTTATAAGACTCTCCTCGTCTCAGTCGATGGGACTCGGCGTCTTCGGCCTGTGTCAGAACTCCTAGTTTCAGTTTAAAATCTTGTGAAACCACACAGCATACATTAAGTGAGCCGATACAGTTTGCATACCGTTTTGAATGGAGGAGCCATTCCTTCCCGGTGGATGAGCTGCTTTAGTTACCACTGCTACTTTTTCTCTGCTCCGAACGTCTTAACACAGCACCCAGTTGATGGCCAACGCACGGACAGTTCAGAGGTCACACAGTGTATTTTCTTATTCGCGCATTTGAATGTGAATGATTCCGAATACTTTGGCCAAATTGGTCACGTGAAGCAAAAATAATTCTAATACTTGATTTACTGTACACAAGCTCTCTCAATATCACACCTCCTCTTAAAACTGCACTGTACAGTCAATGCAGAATGACCCTGGCAATCCAGTCTCGTGGAAATGTCTTCAGCTGGCTGTGATTTGATGTTGCATTTTTCATCCTTTTAAAGTGACATTGTGCTACTGGTGAGCTTTGACCACAACGTTGAAAGTATGCATCATTGATGTCACACAGATAGTTCCTTGGTTCTAAGAGTTCTTGTAACAACAGAGTACTTGATGGAGTAAAAAAAAATAAATGAATAAAAAAAACTGCTTTTACATGTTAAGTATTAGATATGAGCAAATACAGACTGGTGACAGTTTGAGCTTCCTCTTTTGGGAAAAAAGGCAGAATATTTGCCGTCAAGTGGGAGCTTGTATTTTTTCATCCAGTGGTCTGTCTTGCTGCATTTGATAAGCCTGTCCTCCTTTTTGTTTCTCATTACTTTTGATGAATGTTCCTTCCTCTGTATTTCAGAGTTGTTAATACCACTACTATTATTAATTGCTATTACGATCATTATTGCTACTGTTGTTACTATTACTACTACTGTTACTAATGCAACTTCTTGCAAAAATTACAACTGCTGTCCATTTTCAGGTACGTGTCTGTAATACCAGACCCTTCCACACGATGTCAGTGTGCTGTGGAGCATTTTCATTACAAATCGAAAATACTGTTTGTTGACTTGTGTATCTACATCTAATATTAGGAATAATAAAACATGGTTTAATCAAGAATATTTTTGGTCGAATCTTTTTTTTGGTGTACCAAAATCAACATTAATTTTAATTATGGTCTGCTGTTACTTCCAATTAATTTAATCTACCTGTATGCCACAAGCAGCACAGTGCTTGTCTAACATTTTTATGCTGCACTCAGCCACAAAACAATGAGTCGTAACGGTCTTTTATTTCTCATAGTTTGTTTGACATGAGCATGACGTTTTCAACAGAAATTACTAGATATTTATGTTAACTTTGCCCTAACATTTTCAAATATAATTCTTTGAAAAAGTTGTTACTTAAATTGTTAGAGGTGAATTTAATTGTCTTAATTACCTGACTAATTTGCCGCACCATTGGGCTGGAGGTTATGACGTCATTCCCAAGTGCTGAATTTGTTGTACTTCAGAAGTGCGAAATGTCCCTGTCAGTCTCCTATCGCTTTAAAAATCGAAGCTTTGTCCGGGCTTGCGTCGTGGCTTTAGTGTAGCTTGCAAACGTTCATCTACAGGCATGTCTTCGGTTTTTTAAATTAATTTTATTTTAATTTGAAGAGTGCACGTACAGCGTCCTTGATGCCATATTAGCTTTTATCGTAGCAGACCTGTCAGAAAAAGGTGTTACAAACATTTTAGGAGTAAATCATACCAGTACGACAGTGAGCCAACATGCTGACTGAACGGTTCACATTAAAGTTGCTCGGACCAAATGTTCATCTACAACATACCAAATGCTAATGACAACGTTTGTTGTTATTGAAACAGACCAAGAGTTGCCGTCAAATTACTTACAACAGCACGCGGCAATCGATAGGGGGCGCTAGGACTAACGTCCCTGTTCTTGCCTACAAGTACGGATAGAGGGCACTCATTACCCGTCAGGCACTTTACTCATTTATCAAAGCAAGATGGCAGCTGTTGTTGAGAATGTTGTCAAACTGTAAGTGCTGTACTCCTCTACATACCCTACACCTGAGCAGGTGACACACACTGGGGTCGTATCGTGACGGCTGTCTGACCATGCAGTCTCTGACTTCTTAGTTGGTTAGCTTCACAACATTCAAACTGTGTAGTAAGGTTAGCCAACGGTATCGGGAGCGTCGTGTCTGTTCACATCCTGGAATGGAAGTGTAAGTTAGCAGACACGCAGTTGACCTTTTTGGAACGCGAATCGTTGGATGGTGCTGTATCACATGTGCAATTCTGGCTGTTGGTGTACTTGTTTGGAAATTGCGGGTGCTGCTTACGTCTAGGGAGTCAAACGGCTATCGTCCTGCTAACGTCCGATGAGAGGAGCAGCTAGGCGGCTCACGCGCTAACGAGCTAAAGAGAATGTTGTTTCCAACGTTGTTCGCGGTGAGCTGTCGACTACATGGAAATGAATAAAAATACTTTCAGTGGAGGTCAGTGTTTCCGTTTTGGAAGCCCACCCTTTGTAACCACTTTTGCTGTGAAGTTCCACATCTGGATACAACTTTTTAAAGGCGTAAAGTTGAATGCTTTGATGATGACACATGCCGTCTGAACTCAAACGTTCTTCCATTTCCGTTGTTTGTGCGTGTTGGTGCAACTGAAACCCTGGTTAGGCAATGTCAGTCACAAGCGTGTACCCGTGACTTCTGATGGGGGAACAGTTACAAAGCTTTATTTGACTTGATACACATCTAACTCCCCTCTTAAGTTGCTGTAAAAAGAAAAACAAAGAAAACGTGTGACCTTGTTTGTTTTATGTCAACACTATCACAGCTTTAAATCTTAAAGACAAGTCCATGTTATTATTTAAAAGGTAAACAGTTATTTTGTCCAATTTTCTCCTCTACACATACAATATTAGTAAAATTGAATGATTTTAAACTGCCTATTTCCTTCCCAAATTGTACGCAGACATAATTTTCTGCTATTGATTAATTTTCACCTAATAGGATCTCATTTAACATAAATGTGAGTGACACTCGCTGACTGGAGGGCAACTTCGCACTGATCACTTTGAATGGTTCCCTTTCACATCTATAAAAAAAAAGGCCTTAAACTAAAAATGAATGTCTTCATTAGGAATAAAAATGTCATGATGGTGACAGCCTGAGCTTCAGTATAATAGATGTAACTTTAGTGCTGGAAAGTGCTCCAGGGAATCCTGACAGCTTCTAAAGTTAGATGTTAAGGCCTTTTGTTTTAATTTCCTCCTCATGTCTTTGTAATCAGGGGTTAGCACAGATAGTAAGGTGTCTGTTGTGAGTTTGGGGTGCATTCAGCCTCAGCTTTCCTGATGGAGAATAGATGATCAACACCCCTTCATGCCAATGGAATAGTGCCCTCCTAAAGTATTTTATGTTAGTCTGCCAATAAAAGATAACATTACGTTGGGGTTTCCTTTAGTAATAAAGAAAACGTTGTTTTCTATATTTTCTGGGTTTATTTTCATTAGACTGGGCGAGCAGTACTACAGAGATGCCTTGGAGCAGTGTCACAACTACAATGCCAGGCTCTGTGCCGAGAGGAGCGTTCGAATGCCCTTCCTTGACTCTCAGACCGGTGTTGCTCAAAGCAACTGCTACATATGGATGGAAAAGAGACACAGGGGACCAGGTGAGAGACACGTGCACTGTGAAAGGCTTTTCAAGACCTAAACTATGGATAACTTAACCTATAACCTACATAGGTTAAAAGATAACTACTCTACTTATTTACCTTTTTACTTGTGGCTAATCCTACAAACAGTTGCTCATATGTCTCGGTACAAAAGGATCTTCCTCCAAATAACTCCACCACTATGAAGCTGTTCAGTGCAGTTATTGATGGTCTTCCCGACGTTAGAAATTTTTAAAGCACCTGTTTGGGTTTCTGTTCTTTTTCTCTCCTCCATCTACACTTTTTCTCCCTTGTCTTTTATCTAAGTTGCTCGGCATTACTGTAATAAATATACCAAACATCAAATAGTGATAGAAAGCACATTGTTCTATGGCCATGGGTAAATGGTTCAAATAAACTTTATAATACATGTTTTGTTGAAGTCTTACAAGACTTTGTCTTTTAGCTCTCAGACTTTCTTTGGAGCTAAAAACAATCTGACAACTTATTATATACAAAAAACTTTACAGATCAAATAAACTGATGGCCTCCACTGTTTTTTTCTGTTCACAGTAAAAATGCCACCAATGCTTGAGGAAGAATTATGTGTAGATTTTTAAAAAATTTTTAAATCATAGCTTTGAGCATTTTTTGCTAATCTTGTGTTGATGGATGCCCTTTCATCTCTCAGGCATGGCTCCTGGGCAGCTCTATACTTATCCAGCGAGGAGGTGGAGGAAGAAGCGGAGATCTCACCCTCCAGAGGACCCCCGGCTCATTTTCCCTCCTGTCAAGTCAGGTATGACCACACAGAGCAGAGCTCATTTTATCCTCTTTGCCTTTAGAAAAACCCAAAAAGCTGCATTTCACTGATTTTTCAGAAATTCTTGAGGATTCAATTTTGTTGAAATGAATAGGACATTGTTTAAATGAATCGATACATGTACATCAGATTGAAGTTCAGCATACAGCACAACATTTGGCCTTTAGGCATTAGTCTTGAACCTTTTGCTTTTTTTTAAATCACAGAGCTGGACCTTGGACTGAAAAAGGATGCTCTGTTGTCCTCGGACGGAAGCAGCCTGGAAGCACTGCTGAAGGGTGATTCCTTGGACAAACGGACGGCCGCAGACCTCCGGGGATCAGAGGAAGATTCAAACCAGAGCGATTACACAGGAAGCCTGAATCCTGCTGCTCGGATTAGAAAGGTTTCTCTTCCTATTTCCGTAATATTATGTATTGAATGTTTTAAATGTGGTATTCTGGGCAGAAAAATTAAACAACAAATGCCTGGACTTGATCTGGCTTCTTTGATTTAATTTTTTTTCAAATTCCTACTTCATCCTCTCATCATTGTAGAGAATCCTAGAGCCAGATGACTTCCTGGATGACCTCGATGATGAGGACTATGAGGAGGACACACCCAAAAGAAGAGGCAAAGGGAAAGGGAAGGTAAATGTTTGCCCATTCCCAACCATGTGTGTGTATTGTTTTTGCTTCAGTCCTTCTGCTGACCTCAGCTGTGTCCACAGGGTCGTGGAGTGGGCAGCAGCCGGAAGAAACTGGACACGGCGGCACTAGAGGACAGAGACAAGCCCTACGCCTGTGACAGTGAGTCCTGATAGGCCAGAATGGCGCATGTGAACTCTGGTCTTAAAGCTGTTGTATTTGCAGTTATTACAAGCAAGTGAGAGCATTATCTTTCACCTTTCTTCTCACCTTCTTTCCTACGTATCAACTTTCTGGAATCCATCCTCTTCCTGTTCTTTGCTAGACTTGTTAAATCTGTTATTTCTGAAGCTGGTTTAGACTCTGCTGCTTTTTACCATTATGATATCATACTTTTCTTTAACCTGCATTTCAAATCTTTCTGTGGATAAAGTTGAGTGTTTCCAACACTTGTTTGGTATCATCAGACTCCAAATCTGTACTGCTTAATGTGTGTGGTTTATTATTTCTTTTCTTACTCCGCTTCTGTGACGCTGTTTCGCTTTCAGTAGCGGGGCTTTGCTGACTGATTCTGTCAGGCTTGTTCTGAGCCTCTGTCAGTGCTCTCTCTCCTTCTCTTCTCTCTTTCAGACAATATCAAACAAAAGCATATTTCAAAACCTTCTGAAAGAGGTATATTTCTCTTCATTACTTTTCCCTCCAGCCTGCCTTGTCATTTGTTGTCACTGCCTGTTTTGTCCGCTGTCTGTGCTAACAATTAGATTTACTCTTTGTGTGTTTAAGTGTGTAGGGTTAATGTCCACCTGCTGTATTTTCATAATATTGATGTTGGTTGATTTAGAACAATACCCCAATAGACATCAGTTAAAGTCTGTAAAGAGCCCAACACAGTATGAGCAAAGTCAGCTGACGTAGAATAAGCTGTAGCCAATGAAAGTGTTTGTTTCAACTGTCAGTCCTTGAATTCCACAGCTTTAGATAGTATTAAAAAAAATAAAAGCCAGATCCTGTTTTTTCCTTATCTGTATTCATTATTATATCTAAATGGTTAATACCAGCAATTTTATCTTTTCCTGTCAGTTTTTGTCCTTGTGTTTTGTTTCGCCTTTCCCTCCATTTCTGCATCCTGTAAATTGTCATTCCCGTCTCATTTCTTGTTTTGAAAAGTCTACTGCATTTTTGAGCTCGTTTGGTGTCTGCCTGACCTTTTTTACTCTCTTCTACCACAAAACTATGGTTTGCCTATTTTGAAACAACAAGATAACGAACATTTGAACCAAAGCTTGTATGGAAGTGAAAGAAGGAAGTGTTATCTTTGTGTGTTCGCCTGTGACAAACATCACACTGGCTTGCAGTGTCGTCTTGAGAAAGACGCAGTTTGAGAAACCTCTTTTCACAATCCTGACTCCTTTTACCGCCCAGATTTGGGCAACGTCAAATTAGTTAGTTAGAATGGAAATTCATAGCCTTAATATGGTCATTAATGTAGAAGATGTTGTAATGTGTTATTTTTATTTATATTTCTCACAATTACCATTGCAAGCTAAACATCTATTTTCGGTTTCTTCAACGATTAAAGATTTACAGGCTACATTAGGACTGTTCCGCCTTATTAAATGCTTGTTTTAAGCATGCAGAAGCATTCATCCTTTTCCCAAAATGTTCCCCTTGAACACGCTGTTTGTATTTCCGCTTCTCTTCATTCATCTGTCCAGTTTCATTGCCTGTGTTTCTTTAAATCATTAAATCTAATGGAGCCCGAAGTTCATCCTCTGCCTCACACGTCAGTCAGTGTGTTCAATCAAACTCACACATTAGCCTAAAGTTGGAGAATTGATTCTGCACAGGTCAGGTTTAATGTCTAATTTCGTTAGCTCGCAGGGTCCGTGAAGTCCGTGTAGTTTTTGTTTTTAAATTTAACTTTAACTTCCACATAAAAACAAACATTTGAAGACATTTAATTAAGACGTTTTCAAATTTGTCGGTAGTTCTAAAGTATTTTTTTTTCCAGTTGAAATTACACACACGCGCAAAAAATCTCCCCTCAACACCCTTTTTCATCACTGGCCTTTCACAGTAAAAACAATGTGAATATCTGTTACTCGTGTTGCTCGTGTTCATACATGTTGCATTTTCTCACTTCGGTGGCAGTCTGTGGGAAACGCTACAAGAACCGCCCCGGCCTCAGCTACCACTACGCCCACTCCCACCTGGCCGAGGAGGAGGGCGAGGAGAAGGAAGACATGGAGATGAATGAGCCTGCCCTGCCGCTGCCCGAGGAGACGAAAAGTAAGAGACGAGCACCGAAAGATAAATTTGAAATATCTTTGGAGGATGCCAATCTAGATGTGTGATTCACTCATGCTCTGACTGTTTTAATTTTGCCAAAAAGCTCCCAAAAAAGGCCCAGATGGTCTCGCGCTGCCCAATAATTACTGTGATTTCTGCCTGGGAGACTCCAAAACCAACCATAAGACAGGCCAGTCAGAGGAGCTGGTGTCCTGCTCCGACTGTGGACGCTCAGGTACTTTCTGCTTGTGTAGCTGCTGGAATAAAGATGTGGCGTGAGCTAAGAGGTAGCTGTTAGAGTGAGGGTTCTTCAGCGCTTTAAGTGTGTAAACCATCTCCTCCCATGACACAGGCCACCCCTCCTGCCTGCAGTTCACTCCTGTTATGATGGCCGCTGTGAAGACGTACCGCTGGCAGTGTATAGAGTGCAAGTGCTGCAACATGTGCGGCACTTCAGAGAACGATGTGAGTCTTTCAGCTTTGCTAGATTTGATTGTCAAATGCAAGTATCCACGTGCTCCGTTTTTTAGTTTGATCGGTCATAACAAGTGATCGAAGAGTCTGATGTGTTGCCTACATTTAGAACTTTTACTCTTAGATGTGTTTAACAAAGATTTTTTTGCCTGGGGACTAAAGCATACACAAAAAAAAAACATAATAAGATCTGAGTATTACATTTGCTCCATTGGGATGTGTTTTTTTTATTATTTCCTTGTGTTCCGTGCCTTTCAGGATCAGCTTTTGTTCTGCGACGACTGTGACAGAGGCTATCACATGTACTGCCTCAACCCACCCATGTCTGAACCCCCAGAAGGTACGTCCACCATATGAAAAAAACACTTTTGAACAGTACTCTGACCTTGATGATAAGGGTGCAGTGAGTGGTGAGAAAAGACAAATTGTCCGACCTTCGTTTTATCTTTTTAAGGACATCAGAGTTGTGGTGTCCATCTTAAGAAGACAAGCGTGTTTAAAATTGATTTAGCTGTCGTTCGATAAGAGTCAGGAAAACAGAAACATTTAACTCAAGTCTCTAAAGGTGGATTCATTCATGGAACACGTCACAGCAAATATCCCTGTCTCAGGCCTCCACAAAAGAAGATGAAGTTCCCATAAATTCACACATAAAAGTTTAAAAAATGTTGTTTTTTGTCGTGAGCTTTAAGCATTTTGGGAACAGACTCATTTCTCTCTTTGTGGTTTTCAGGGAGCTGGAGCTGTCATCTGTGTCTGGACCTTTTGAAAGACAAGGCCTCCATATACCAGAACCAGAACGCCCCGACGTCGTGATGGCAACTCCATCTGGCTTTTGCTCGTCACCCACCGTCCCACAACAGTATGGTTCACCCCCGAAGACACGATAAACTGCCCTGAAAGGATCACCTCAGAGGGACTGTGTCCTGGACCCCCAAATTGTGAAAAGGGAAGTATACCTTACAAGACTGGCCTCATTTAGCAACAGATATGACTGTTACACAGTTCCAACCTCAGATTCAGTCAAATCGATTTTTATTATCACCTACTTGCAACATAGCCAATGTGAGCTGCACTCATGTCAGAGCTACAGCATTAACAGCCAAATTATCACTTCCTAATCAGCTTTTATACGTAGTTGCTAAAGCCTCGTCACTGTCCGCATAGTAATCATTTTATGACTTGAACAGATTCATGAATATTAGATGGCATGCCCATGCTTGCTTATGGTGAAAATACATTTTATAATATTTATATATTTCTATGGTATATAATAGTGTTAAGTATGTATGAATTGGAGAAAAGGAACGGTCATTTGGTGGTCTATAATTGATAGCACATCCATCTCATCGCATTTATAGAAACCAAATGTTCTCTGATGTTATCCATTTGATACATTATTTGCTGAGATTCCCCCCCCCCCATTTCTTCCTCCATCTCATCCACTAGCCAAACACTGGCTCATAGAAAAAAAATGTAGAATAGGAAGGGGGGGGGGGTATGAATACAATCCCTTACATTCTTGTCAAAAGTAGCTCCAAAGGCTGGCGGGGTTAGATTTGGGTCTCCATGACGCGAGTGTGCTGCGGGCTAATGAGGAGGCATGAACGTGCACTGATGTGCTCCTTCCCTCAGCCCTCTGGGCCCTCTGTTGACAGAGGCCCTGTGGACCGCAGCCACACAAAGCAAACCTGCCGTTGATCGATGGCTGCTCTGCAGCGCCAGCTCCCGTCTGACGGGAAGGAAAATGTAAAACGGGGACGGTTCCGCTCGAACCCAAATCCCCCTCAGAGCAGCAGAAAGGTGATAACGCTGTGTTGTAGCAGTTTGCTGAACGTGCACCATGACCGGTGTCGGTTGATGTTGTGACGCCATTAGATTGTAACGTAACTGAAGCCTGTGATCTCACAGGCTGCCACATTCTCAATGAAAAGCAATATTAGAGCTCCTGTATAATGCTGCCATGACAGACTCATCAAGTTGACTCTGTTGACATAGGATGCGATACTGTAAATGTGATGAGAAAATGTTATGACAGGCAGACTTGGGCAGCAGTTATGGATTATTGCCTGTTGTAGAAAAGAGCTTCCTTGTATATCTTAACTGCTGTTTCTGTCATTGCTTTTATAGTTTTATTATGCAATAGTTTCCTTCTGTGGCAGGGCTATAGAAAGTCAGAGCTGCTGCGGCAGTTCCTTTACCTCAAACAGAAACAGTATTTAAAGGGTTGAAACATGCTGTGGGGTTGGTGGGACACAGTCGGAGGGAGGAATCGTGATGACAGCTGCAGTGTCTGGTTCAATAGCTGCATATTTTACAGTCAAACAATTGCATGTCCAGTAATTGTCGGCACTCATATGCTACATAGTGGTGTCAGAATTAGATTGGTAAAGGTGTCGGGAAAGTGGTGTAATATAAATTAGCCATGCTATCACGTCGTTTCAATAGCCAACTAACAAATACTAAAGCATTACACGAGTGTCATTCGGTTTATTTTCACAACATGTTTTAAACTTACTGTTTTACCTAGAGACAGTGGCTACTAGAATATTTATCTGTTCTTTTGTATTCATCAATAACTCTCGCATACCTGAGGTGTGGGACATTTTTGGAGTTTGGTGGAAGTTGCTCTCTAGCGAATCCTGTGATCCAGGTCTAAACTGAGCTGCTCTCTTCCAAAGCTCAAAACAAGAAGCAAAGTCCGTAAAGGGATTAAGTGGCAAATACTGACAGGATTAATGTGCAGTCTTCAACCGAAACTGAAAAACAAGAGGATTGCCCGACTTCCAGCCGTCACATTTGTCATTATCGCTGAATATCGGATCATAGTTGACTTGTTTCTAGCTTTGGGAGAGACTAGTTCATTGCATCAAGTAATATTTAAATCAAGATCATAGGTTTACATTAGTTGGTGAATTCTCTTTGGGTGGACTTTTATTTGCTTTGTGATGGAATGTTTTATTGTATGAAAAAATGTCTTCAGGAAAATAAAATACTAAGCACTATAAACTGTTTTTTTTCATCCTCCGCTTAATAAATTCAGAGATTTGCTGCATTATTCTATAAATACACTACATGCTAGAAAAGGGGGGGGGGGGGCATTAGGGGCTAAGGTCCAGAACATATTAAACATTAAGGTGATGCTTCATACTCCTGAAACTGCCGCTGCCCATATTTCTTATTCGTCCGCTCACCTGCGTACATCCTGAGTCAGTACAGAAAATAAGGAGTTAAAAAGATCAGTCGTTATTGCACTTTTTCCTTTTATTGCACTCAAAATACAACAGTCATCTAGGATCCATTACAATCTCTAAAGCAGTAAATTTGATTCTAAAATGTCATCTACCTCCAACATCACGACAGAATGAAGAGAATAGTCTTTGGAGAACTGAGTTCAGCGTGTTTGGATTAATGGGATTATTATTAGTACTGGATCAGGAGGTATGACAGCGGGTCCTGACAGCTGAGCGAAAGAGCACGTCAGCGTCACAGGCTGCTGTGACTCATCTGCCGGGAAAATGAGGACGGAGATGAAGAGGATACAGAGAGACAACTTCTGCCTCTGGTAAGACCCCAAAAAAAGGAAACGTTAGGACTAACACGTTCAATTAAAGAAGGAAATGCCTTGTATCTTTACTTATTGCTATGCAGTTATATTCCCAATTTAATCATTACAGTAAACAAAGCAGTAGAAAAACTTGTCCCAGTTTGGCATTTTTTGGTTGAGATTAAAACATTTTCAGGACCTTTGCATTTTCTCTAAACTCCATTTGGACCTGCAGGTCTTTTCCTTTTCTCTTTTTGTGAAAACGACAAGGTGGAGCGTGTTGGTTGATACAAAAATGGAGGCAAAAGGTAACTAATGATGGATAAGAATAGTGCTAGTTTAGATTTTTTTTTTAACGCCTTCACAGTCCATTGAACACACAAATACGCATTCATTCTGTTACAATAATTCACAAGTATGTATTTTTCAAAAAATATCAAAATACCACAAAACAAGTCTCTTTCATAAATTCAGTCCTGTAAAACTATAAGTAATTTGAACATTTAAAAACAGTAAAAAGTATTGTCAAGTGGACGAAGATAATTATTGTACAATCATTAAAAAAAAAGTCGATAGTATCCCTTTGATGGAACATTTAGAATTCACAGACATAAGCAAAAATACCAAATACCGAAGGTTCCTCCATAAAGTTAAAAATGTGCCCACATTGTTGAACTTTTTTTTCCGTTCCCGGATGACAGAGGAACAGTTGGTCAGAAATGAAAATGCAGCATCTTTTGCCATCGAAACGCACATGTTGTAAATGTACAGTCTGTGAGATGAACAAAGCATCATCTCTGGTTCTGAGGCTTTACAAAAAGGCCCAAACTTGGATTCAGTCCTGTACAGATCATACAGGAAGTTAAAACCTGCTTTACTGTCATTATTCATTAGAACTTTTTATTATAACATTCCTAAATTTTGCACTATAAGTAAAGATTTCATTTGTTTTCCCCACGGTTCCTGTTTAATAAATAACCGGGTGTCATGTTATTGTAAAATAGGTTTCATTTACCTGCTTTTAGGACCCCGTGAGGTCCAGATGATTTTTAAATCCCAAAACACTGAAAAGAAAAAAATGAAAAAAGAACAGCAGAACCGAGACGTTGCACTTTCTTCCTCATGTGACTGCATGCGTGTGCGTCTTAGCCTGCTTGGAGTGTTTCTTCAACTTAAAAATGTTCCACCAAACTGAAATCATCCTATTAAATGTACAAGAAACATTGCAAACATCGATTGTCGTACCTAAACATGACGTAAATGACTAAACCTGCACTCAGTCATCAAAGTTTGTGACACTCATAAGTACATTATATATTAGATTTCATATTCATAAGACTGAAAAATACAGAAATACTAAGTTTGTCTATTTGCGTACCTTGTTGTACTAGTGCTTGCTGTTTTGAAGTAGTTAGGCAAAAATATTGTCAAGATATTGTGCATTTTTTTTATACTGACTACTCTAAAGTCTCTGACACACATGTTCTCCTTTTTTATTGGCTGTTCAGACCTCTGTAACTCGGTGCCACCTGCTACATTTGGATTCTATATGTTCACACTAACGCTAACATCAGCTAGGGTGTACATTCAGAAAAGGAATCTGTAAAAGCAGCTCCATGCATGACACAGCAGTAGAAATCATCTGTGGGTTTGGCCTTCTGACACGTCTACAAGCCTCTGGGCCTGTTCTCAAGAGCTTTTTTTCCTTCTTCTTCTTCTTCTTCCTGTGCTTGGCTTTTGTTGGAGGATCTTTTTAACGCTTAATTCCCCCTCCCATAAAATCGCAACTGTGCAAAACCTGCTCGAACTGTTTTATAAGTGCTGTCGGATAAAAATAAATTTGAAAAAAAATAAACTAAGCGAGAGTGTGCCCAGCACCAGGTGGAAGCTTGTAAAGTTGGTCTATCAGAAAAGACTTGTGCTTACAGTGGTGTTGTTGAAGGAGCTTGTAAGCATTAATTTGCTTAGCTTCAGCAGCTTTCTCAAACACTAAAAATACAAACAACTAATTATACAGAGTTATTCTGAATCAGAACCTCTAAGGGCTTATTGCTTTAATTGAACTGGGGCAGCGTGGCATTTGATAGAGAAAAACAAAAACAAAAAATCGATCCGAGGAAGCTGAGATTTGTGTTTGTCTGCTGGACTGTATGGTAACTTGGAGGTGAAGCTGGAAAGGCTGAGCTTGACAATTGAGAAGGTGGTAGCAGAAAAAGCACTGGGAGAACCGAAAACAGCACAAAATTAAGTTAAGAGATGCAAATTTCAGCTCAGGTTTGGTTCCCGTATCATCATTAGGTTTGCCATTAAAGAGCAGCAGCACTGCAGAAAAACTGAGGAGTAGAAAAGTTCCGTTTCCGAGGATGCTGCGGTCGGTGTCGCTTCCTTTTATCATGTAAATCAAGACCTACAAACACTGCTACCGCCATCTCTTAGCCTGTGATATATTTAAATGTTTCTTTCTTTTTTGCTAAGTCACCCTACTTAATACCGAAACACTGTAACCAAACACAGCACTGTTCAAAAAAGACAAAAAAAACGTGTCTGTTAGTGTAGCTGGACATTATCACCGGAGTGATTCCTACAGAGGAGCACAGACGTTTCTACGAGGAACACAACAACACTGTCACTGCTTTTCTTTTTTCTGTTTTTTTTTTTGGCTTCGGGTTAGAAGACGTCTGGTAGAAATGTAACTAGTCGACTGACGGGTGGGCTTTTTCCAGGCCCGAGGCCTTACATCTGCCCGAAGAGGATGGAGCAGAGAAGGAAGATGGCATAGAGAAACAACAGGCCCAGACCCAGCCGGCGGTCCAGCCTCCAGTGGTTCAGATGAACACTCGTCACCTGAGGAAAGAAGGGGACCACAGCCGAGTCAGCACTGAGGGGAAAAAAAGTCCCTACTTTTTAGCACATAGTTTACTCCTAAATAAAACCTGAATTTAAAGAACACAAAGCCTGATCCCTTCTAGGCAGAAGCTTCAAATGCTCTAGTCTGCTGCGTGGCGCTGCTCTCAGGAGACTGGTGAGGCTCCACAGATGAACACCGACATGATTTCCTACTCAGCCACAAATAGATTTATCAACCCTAACGTTTCAAAAGCAATTCCCTGTGTTGATGGATGGGTTCGGTGAGGAGACGAGCGCTTGCTGGTGCCAGCAGGAGGAGATTCTCAGCAGCTGGTGGAGTCGGATGCCAAACCACCAGCAACACCTCCCACCCACCATTAGCACGCCTGCTAAAGGAGGGGGGGGGGGGTCCAAGGTGTGACGCCAACTTTTTGAGGCCCAATCAGGAGAGGAAAGGATCAAAATAAAGGTGTTGGCTCATTATTTAAAATACAGAACGATTAGTTACGACCTAATTCAATTCATTTAGAGCTCATTTGGGACATTATGCAGGCGTTCAGCCGCTTTCTCAGCGTTGAATACATCAGTCACTTTTTTTAGCATGCTGGTTTTGCTTCAGGAACATGGCTTTAATAAAAGGCGGTCTGACACCGCCTGGTTTCGAAAGACAGAAAAAACCAAGTCTATCACCTCCTCCGTGCTGTAAATGAGAAATACCAGTGAGGTGTTATGAATAATAAATGTTTGAAAGACTATTAAAAACGCATTCATTTAATCACTTCTATTGTTCGTTAGTATGTGTCATTATAAAACCATCCGCAAAATGCCTTGGACAAACTTTTTTTTAAATCTTAAACTTTTGTTCCATTCTGACAACATGGAAACAGCTGTGCAACAGCTGGTACTTGGTGTTTACTCACCGTCAGAAACACTGATGCTAGCAGCAGGACGACGGAATATACAAGTCCTTTATTATTTATGGAGACCTGTGGAGCAAAAGAATGATTTCAACGAGACTGCCTGAAGACCTGAGACAAAAAACTAATTACACTCGCAAATAATCAGTTCTCCGGGGATAAAGTGCGTGCGTACTACAGATCCATTGTCCACCACGAGGGTCCGCAGAGCCCAAGGGAAGCCCAAACCCAGCAAGATGTCAAAGATATTGCTGCCAATGGAGTTAGACACTGCCATGTCCCCCATGCCTGGAAAAAGAGAGGCTCAACTGGAACCAACACCACAAAGAGGAGAGGCGATGATACATGAGGGGACCCAGGGGGGACGCTTGTTTTGGTTACCTTGTCGAGCTACAATCAGACTTGCCATGCAGTCGGGCACGCTGGTCCCCGCCGCCAGGAAGGTTATGCCCATGATGTAGTCCGGGATGTCGAGTGTGAAGCTGATGATGGTGACCTGGTAACCACATGAGACCGCACATGACATCCGGAGCACGTAAAGAATACCGAGGGGAGGGGGGGAAAAGAAGTGTTTCCGTCTTACCATCCACACCATGAGGTAGGAGAAAATGGCTATCCACAGGGTGGAGGCCACGAAGGTGACCATGAACCAGCGGTGCCAGCGTGGCCGGATGCAGTTAGGCACGGTGCAGTAGAGCAGCAGGCCCAGCGGCCAGGTGATGACCCACTTCAGCCGGGCCCGGCAGCTGCCTGGGAAACCACAGGGAAAAAAGTTAGACCAGAGCTTCTAGACCCGTGTCCTATCGAACCCTAGGGGGTTGGATGAGTGGGTCTGAGTTAAAGGATCCTCACCTGGAATGCGCACTGGACTAAAAATCCCGTCCTCGTCGTCTTCCTCCTCCTCCGGCTGGCAGACCTCCGGCCCCCCCGGTTTGTCCGCTGACTCGGCGTCCATCGGCCCGGGTCTCCCGCCTCCGTTTTCCAGGCTGCAGGAGCCCGTCCTCTTCAGGCTGTTGCTGGTGGAGCCGCCTCTCGACCCGGGGCCGCCGTCGCCGTCCCGCTGGTGCCTGGAGCTCCTGATCAGCCGCTGTCTCTGCGGCGGAGGCGGGGGGGGCAGAGTTTCTGCGATGCCTGTATGCGTGCTAGCGCCCGCTTACGGAGTTACCAACCTCACTGATGAGCACGCGTCCGGCCATGGTCAGCCTGGTGCGGGGCGAGAAGTGGGGGGTGATCATGATGCGCAGGCCGGCCTCTGAGAAGGACAGCTTGTGGGGGTTGAGGATGAGCAGCTCGTCCACCATGATGACCGGAGGGTTCTCCTGGCCGTGGGCTTGGCCTGCGGGGAGGCGTGGGGCTTTAAAAACAGCCTGAACCGGGACACGTCTCACAGCCCGAACCGGGGCGCTCGCTCACCTTTGTTGAGAAGAACCAAGGAGGTGTTGCACGCCAGAGCCTCCTCCCCCATCTTACTGTCCCGCTGCTCCTCTGACCTGCGGCAGCACGACCCGCCGCCCCGGACCTGACGCGTCACCAGCACCGACAACTGGGAGTTGAACCTGCAACAGCACAAACCCCGACGTCTGACGCCTCTGTTTTCAGTCCAAACACGAGACGGGGCAGGAACCCAACGGCTGGTTATCGTACTCACTTCATGATTATGATGTAGATCGCATACATGGTCATCAGCATCAAGGACTCCCACCTGCACAGAGGGGCAGAGTCCGTGTGTGCCCAGCTGACCTCTGTCCGGCTGAGTAGCACACAGCTGGGCCTCTAACTGCCCCCCCCCCCCCCCCCGTTTTACTCAGGTGTGGCTGACAAGAAGCTCTTCTCTAAGAAGGGGTTGCAGGTATGGTGGAGGGATGAGTCCTATCCACTGTTTTTACCTTTTTACAAAACGGATTTCTATAAAAAAACGAAGGGTGGCTTGTGACATGTATAAAAATGAATGCAGCTCCTTCGTTTTCTCAGCTTCTCTAAGAAATAAGTGGTGAACTTGTCCAGCAGCACACTCATGACGATTTAACACTTTGTGCTCCCTTTTTGGCAAAGTCGGCTTAATTAGAAATCTGCCAACCTTCGCACAGGGGTGAACCTCAGCCAGTGACCCCTTAAAGAGTCGGCTTTATATCTCTAAAGAATCCTTTGGCATGACAAACATTATGTCCAAAAAATAAACACACTCTTTCATTAAAGCATGCTCACAAATACTGCACTTGATAGCCAATGTCTACATTATCCACAGCCCGAAATCAGGACAGACAGTTCAGAAATCTTCGACTATCGGCAGGTTGAAATACAAATCGTGATGTCTTATGACATAAATCAGAGCCACGATCAGCTCACCAAGTTCCCTGTTCACTCTGATGGTGGACGACGCTGATACAACGGTTTGTGACAGAGTTCAGAGCGTGAAAAGAAACAGAAAACTTTGGAAGCTCTGACAGAAACCCGAGCAGGAAAGCTTCAGTGGAAAATGTGGTCAAACTGTGGGCACTGCTTGCTCTTTCGATAAATATGCATGAAATATTACTCATCTAAAACACCGTCTCGCGCTCCAAAAAGTGGGGATTCCTAAATCAACTATTCCTAAATCAACCAAATGTACAAACACGACTCACCAGACCACTCTGGCATCATAGATAACCTGAGGACAGAGAGAAAGAGAAAGAGAGAGAGAGAGAGAGAGGAGGACAATGTCTTACTAGTGCAGTTTGGACATAAAAGAAGGTCAAAGAATAAGTCTGAATGTACATATCACCATGATGAGGGCCAGGACGGAGAGGATGTAGTAAGAGGAATCTCTAAAAAGTGACCACCAAGTCAGAACCACTGTCTGTTGAAGGAAAGGGGACAAATATTACAGATGAAAGCATTGAATCAGTTGTTTTTTTTTATATGTGTTATCACACACTTCCCTACCGAGCAGCACATATCAGAGAGACGGATATTTTAAATGATAGAGAATATAACTTAAACAACCAAAGAAGAAGATCTAGTCTATTTTTACACCTAAAAATGATCAACAGGCGCCTTGTTTGATCATCTCAGAGCATAAAAAAGAGGCAGTGAACAGAGATACCGCGGGGTGGAGGAGCAAATGCGTGCATGCTGGTAAAAGCGAGGACACGTTGCACCACCTGTCCTGCAAAGATCCCACTCAGCCCGATGATGACCAGGATGTTGAAGACAGCTGAGCCCACGATGGTGCCGACCCCGACGTCCCCTTTGGTGATGAAGACACCTGCGGAGCAGAGGGTTTAGGCTAAATTTAGGAAGGACAGGAACCCTCCCACCTGCCATCATGTGTGCTGCACGATGGAAACCTATTAAATGAACATTTACGATGGTTCAAAGCGGGTAGTCATAATTAAAAGTGGCACAGAAAAACAACCACGTCTGCTACTCCGTCAACACACTTCAACCGATTTCAAAATGTGAGGAACCATATAATTCAACAAACGTGATCTCAATAGTGAGGAAAAAAATCATCTCATGGAATTACAAACTGAATTAGACTGACTCTACGTGGACAGAGCAAATTATGCCTTAGTAAGATCTCCAGCAAAATGGAGGTGAAAATAACTTGTGTTATTTCTCTCATTTAGAACAAAACAGAGAATAATATCTCTGTGTTGAAATGATCATCTGTTAGATTTAATTTTACATTTCAACGTTCCTGTTCAGTTGGCCTAACATTACACATCAGCATTTTTCGAGCAACTCAGTAGAAATCCAATGCCCTGCCCTCTTTTTTTCCTCTACCAGCCTTTTAATCATCTTCTGATCCAGCCATTCATCAGGTCAGTAGTCTCACTGCTGTTTCGTAAAAATAAAAAAATGTTTAATATAAAAAACAATGACTGAAAATGTCCCTCTTTAGGTGCTTCCTTATGGACTCTGCTGACATCTCCTGGTGGATTCTGGGGCGTGCACACCCTGTACTTCAGACTGTTTAATTTAAAAATACGTAAGAAAATATATGGATAGCGAGCCCAGCCGTGATTGGGTGATTGGGCGTAGACCGGCTGGGATACGAACCGATGAGAGAGGTGAAAAGTTCCGGGGCGGAGCTTCCCGCAGCCATGAACGTGGCCCCGGCCACATCCTCACTGAGCTGCAGGTTCTGCAAGATTAAGACCAGAAGGAATATATCACCAAGGGCTAGTAGAGGAAGGGGGGGGGGGGGTGTAAGGTTTGGGCTGCTTTTCTTCACCTCTGATATTTTCTCCAGTGAGGGGACAAAGTAGTCATCACAGACGATGGCCAGAGCGTAGAACATGTAGATGGCCTGGAAAGCAACGAGGAGCACAGACCAGAGATAAGAGGGCTGTGGAGGAACACGTCGCTCATTCATAAAATAAACCAGCCCGGGTTTTGTTGATTTATGCTGTAATGATGTCAAATGTCAGCATGATGAGGCAAATATGTAAATAAATGGGGGGGGAAATATGCCTATTGCAGGGATAGTTATGAGAAGCACTCACACAAATTGCATGCAGAACCACGGCCCCATTTTTCCTCTGCTCCTTGGTAAAGATGTCCTCTGGAAACTCATGGATGGCTGTGGGGGGGGCGGGGGGCCAGGGGGGAGGGAGGAAATCAATATCAATATCAACATATCTCCAAACAGAAAATGGTTTATTTCCCCTCTCTGTTACACTGCAAACGTAAGATTTAGAGACATGGAATCTACAAAACACCCGCAGCAGCACGCTGCAAAAGCAGCTTTCATCATGCAGCGAAGAACAAGACAGGAAGTGAAACTGACAGCTGCTTCCTGCCTTCTATCGAGCGCAAAAAGAGGAGGAAAAAAAAAAAACCTCTTTAATTGCGGCTGTGCCCTTGCCACGGCGAAAGAGAGACTCAAGAGCGTGTGGTGGGGCTCCAATTCACAACTCCGAGCTGAGCTGGATGAATTTAAACTACGAGAGAGCATGAGGCTATTAATAGCTCCTCTGCTGTGTGAGACAACAATGGGCCGACATGCACAAAACAAGCAGAGCGCGGCTGTCACGATGCACGGAAACTGAAGAGCAGGCCGGGAGGATTAATAGAGGGTCCCTTGTGATCAGGGATAACAGATATGCTCTTTTGACACCACAGTAGGAGGAGGAGGCCATATGCTCCCGAGGAGGGGCCTTTGATTTGACCGTGTTCAGACGGAAAACATAGCTGCCTCTTGTTTTTTTTTAAGACCCGGAGTTGAAATGGGGTTTTCGGAGGGGGAGGCTGTGCCTCTGCCCCTTTGCTCTCTTAAGAATTGGGGAGAAAGCTAATTGTGGCTGCGTGCCAGCTGTGGCTGCGGAGGGCAGGGCTCGCCCAGCGACTCAGCCGGGCTCAGCAACTCAACTTTCTCATCTTATCACCCGTAGGACGCGGCTTAAGCGAGGAGCGGCCTGGCGAGCAGATCATCTGCGCCCTCTCTTTGCTCTTTGTCCGGTTTTGGTCCTCCCTTTCACCCCGGAGGCCCTCCCGCCTCCTGACCCCACACATAAACTCTCAGGTCTCGGGCTGCCGCCGGTGGAAACCCGGGACTACTACCACTAGCCTCAGATGGACGCTTTCATAGGTTGCTGGGGTGAAGGCAGTTGCTATGGCAACCTTCTCCCTTGGGGCAGCTTTTTTCTTTTCCCTTTTTTTTTTTTCTTTTTTTTTCTTTTTTTTAGATGGGTGGCAGTAGGAAGCCAAAGGCTAGGCGACTGAGCGGACAGTGAGAAAGGGGGAGGTGAAAATGTGTTTCCCATGGTAGGGTTTCATGAAAAATGAAAAAAGAGTAAAAGTGACAGCAGCTCTGGACTGTAATGTCTAAAAATATTTATTTTTCCTTACAAACCCTCAGGAGAGGTCTGAGAGACGGAGGGAGGTGGTGGTGGTGGTGGGGGGGGGGGGGGACGGCACGGAGACACACTGAGACAGTAAGCTGGTTTACTGAAGGCTTCGGAGCTTTGCCAAGACCTATTCTGTGGTCTCACAGAGCACGGCCACCACCGGAAGCACCAGCTCCACAAACTAGGGACTTAGACGAGATCATCCCCATAAAGTCACTCACTTACTCGCAACTAAGGAAAATGTACACCTAGCATCCCATCCCAGTTTATCTAGTGACTTTTAATGCCAGGATCTGAAGCTCACAGCCACTCATTCCTCATTCATCACTTCTGCAATGAGCCTCTTTTAAATAGAGAGTTATCTTGAATATACAGGAAAAGATGATTCATTTAGCACCCTTCTCAGAAAAAAATCACAAAGTGCTTCACAGTGCAACTCTATAGCGTTAAGATAATGAAAGAGGCATAAAATGGCAGCAGAAAATATGATGACATTAAAGCTCTAACTAAGGCGTGAATTAAATCTTTAGCCATTAATTAAAAAGTCCAAACAAAGTAAGCTCATTTTATCCTTGAAGTGCAACAGTTTTAAAGAAATGCTCAACCTTTTTTTTTTTAAAGGCTTTAGACTCAACACTAATGATCAAAGAATATTAATCATTAAAAAGCATTGCTTCCAATGTCCAAAAAGTAAAAAACATAAAATATGTTCAAAAACAGGAGTCATGAGTCCTCCAGGTTCCAGATAAGAGACATGCTGCAGCATTTTTTTACAATTTGAAAATGCTCAAAGACAACAAGTACATTGTGGCAACAAGAGGGGGGAAATAAAAGCATGGATGATCATCTCCAATTCAGCCTATTCAAACCAGGCTTCTAAGTTATTTGATGTCTCTCAAGTGGAAAAAGCGGTTTCAAATCAGCTGCTTGGAAAAAAGCTTAACTTACATTCAAAACTCTCAAAGCTTAGCAAATTACACAGGCCACAAGAACCAAACCTCTGCCTGACTGTTCTCTTTTCTGAGTACACATGTTTTGGTCTATTTATTCCAACAACACGAGCCAAAGCGGAATGAAGTCAAACTCGGTTCGTGGAAGAGCAGAGCATCATCAGAATGATAAGTAAATTATGTTACTTTCACCGAATATGGCAAAACACTGTCCCACAGAGGACCCAAACCAGAACCCCGAGGGACCTCAGATCACAGCCAAACAGTCTCCGACGGGATCTGATTTTACCAACGTTGAAAGTTCTGTACTTCCTTCTAAAACAGATGCTGAAATTCAAATCAAGTCACATAGCCTGTTAATGAAAATGTCACGACTAAAGGAAAGATCTCATTAAAATGCACAATATCAGCTTTTGTCTTGACCCACAGAAAGAAATCACAGATTTGTAAGGAGCCCAAAATGAAGAACTGAAATGAGAGGATATCATCTAGCCAACATATCAGTCTCCTATCTGAATCTTAGTGGCAGCAGTATGTGACAGAACATTTAGTACGGGGTCATTTTTTGCGTCAACTATCAGTTGTGAAACGTTGAACCACCAATGAGAGATTAAAGAAATCATAAGTCTGATAAGATGTATTTTTGTGGCACTAAAGGCACTTTGAAAAATAAAAAGACTCCACCATTAGTAGCTGCACGACAACAGACATTAACACCATAAAAGCAGGTGATCTCTATTAGAACTAGAAACTGCAAAGAGACTTCTCTTCTTCTGGACGGCCTAATTGTAATGGATAACTGATCTCTGCTATCTATGAGGAGACATGACTCTGCAGAAACAGGTATTTCTGAGTCTAACTCAATAAAAGCCTGCGCAACAGATTAGATCCCTCAGCAAACGTCAAAGTCAATTCTCCTCAAAGGCAGGAAAAGAGGAAGCGGTGCTGATGTCGGCGGCGGAGCTCCTGGAGGCCTCGGCGGCGCTGAGTGGCGGGCAGTGGGCGGCGCCCGCTACCGCCATCGATCCGGGAGGCTGCAGGAAGTCCTGGAGTCAAGCTAAGGTTCTGAGTGCCTCACAGAGTAAAGGCAGGCCGTGCACCAATCACACATCAGCTCGTTTGCCTATCCACACACACACATACACACACACACACGCACACAAACATCAGAAACATGGCTGCATTTTTCATGAGGAATATACAAATAAATAAATATTTCATCCAGGTGTGTAATGTAAATTGAATTATGCATTTGCGCTTTGATTTACTCGCCTTTGAGGTGGTTTGAATACAAGACAGATAAGCCGACAGCCGGGCTTCAAACCCCATCAGCCAACTCACTTATCAATAAAAACAGCAAGCGCCCTGCTGAGACAGAGGTGAGCACGAGGGGCGGCGGCAGCCAATCATAAAGCAGCATCCATCGTAACCTTGTCTGGCAGGGAAATCCATCATGAAACAACTAACCCCTTCTGATCAATAACAATGGCAGCTTTTGAGAGAGAGTTGATGACAAAGATCTCGCTCTGACTTTTGGTCTGCTTTTTCTTTTTTTCAGGACAGAGGGTGAGAGAGGGAGAGAAGGATGCAAAAATATCTTTTGAAATTTTCCAGATGGTGTCATGCCAAGAAAACTGTCCTGATAAAAGCTTGTGGTTTTGAGACCATTTCCAAACTATTTGTAATAGATCATCTGCCAATTTCTCTTTCTCAACACTTTCCCCTCCAAAAAAAGAATCCCCCCAAAACATGGCTGTGGAAAAATCCTATTCTCAGCTGAATATCTCTTGCCAAAATAAACATGATAATCTACCTCGTCAACCACACACAGTTTAAGCCATTTACTTCATATAAATGGCTCAGATTCTTTGAACTCCACCCCCCCACTCACCCACCCACCTCCCCAAAAAAAACCTCTCGTCTATTTTTAGCTCTCCGCTTTGCACTTTTAATGCTTGAAAGACAGAATTGTCTGGGTTTCAAAATTTAGCATTCAGTTGCCTAGCAACAGCGGTCTCCGGGGCTTGTCAGCTGAAGTCGGATCACACTGTCTCCATCTTGTTAAGCAGCCCAGAGATAAAAAGAGAGAAAGAGAGTCTGGGGCTGGACGTTACTGTGCAATCCTCAAGATAATATCCCCAAAGATCCAGGGCAGGCTTTTTAATCACACTCCAGATTATACAATCGCTGTCAGGCGGCCTGCTGGGGAGAGGGGGCAGCAACCTGAGGCTGGAGCCGCGCTCACCGCTGAGTCTAATACTACCTGTCCAGCCTTTTGTTCGCCTCCTCGTCTCCAGAGTATTACACCAATGAAGTATCTCCACCGCACTAGACTCGCGTCTTTGTTGGAGATAATGGCAGAGATCTTTTTGCAACCAGGAACTCAATAAAGGTTAAGTGTGTTATCAGGTAGCCGAATACAAATGAACGTGCGGGGCAAATTGAGCGCTAGTGGAGAGAAACCGCCGACCCTCATTTCTCTCTCGAGTGTCTGAAAAATGTATCATCATGTCGCCAGTGGAGTGGCTGTGAGAGCTGAGCGGGTCGGGGGAGCTGTTTTTGACAGGTCCACTCATCGAGCACCTTTCAAATCCAGGCTTTTTTTGTAAATGGTGTATTTGTTAACTCCATAAAGATATCTATGAAGTCAACTGTTTAACATGAAACTTCACAAAAAAAAATGTTGTATATATTTGAGCCTCATATTTAATTTAATTTTTTTATTTCTGAAATCAAACAAAAGAATAACATGCAACCCAGCCTACCTTATATGTAGTATGTTCTACTGCTGATTAAAAGTGAAAACTATGACGAACTTTAAACTGTAAGTGGCCCTACAGCTAATATTAGCCATAGCGGTCTCTCAGTTGATTTACACTCTCTGTCATATGGAAAAGTGAACGGGAATATGAGACAAATGAGTTCCCAAAATGGGCACAGCGCGGTGCTGATGCCGTAGTAAAATAAGATCTTTTCCCCCGGTTATAGATAATCTGCTCCCTTATATTCATGACGGTATATCTCAACTTTTATGAAAGGGAACATTTTCAGATAATGAGAGTGAATAATCATTTTGCAGCTCTGGGCTTTTGTCAATGTTGGAACATCTCAAATCAACATGATGACATTTCTAAAAATGTGACAATAATAAGAAAGGTTAAACCAAACTGAGTGGTCACACATCATTATCAGGCTATTCATCTACACCACCCTGTACAGCACATTTACACATACTTGTCTCGGGCTCCCAGTTTGAAACAACTGCGACAAAGAAAGAGCTCCTGATTGTAGCCCACCCTATTGGTCAATCAAGGTAGATTGGGCCTTTCCGGAGATGCAGCCTTTCTAGAAACTGGAGCTAAAAGAGAGTATTTCTGACAGAGGGTGAATAGAAATGCTGCAGAAAAGTAGATAAGACTTTTTAAATGTTTACAGAAGAGTAAATTATGCAAACATATTGTAGTAAATGAATCACTGAGCTCATAGATATAACATAGTTTCTGTAAGATTCTACACTCCATGATCTTGTATATTTAGTAAAAGAACCAACATACCTGCATAAAGATGGGGTCAAAGGAGAATATTTGACTAGAATTTGCCGTCAAAGAGCTTGACTTTATTTCCTGAGTAAATCTTTCTGAGGGGTCACATCCTCTCCGAGCGGCGGTGTAGGGTTGGACTGTGACACCAGCACAACATTTGCATGGTGTATTATTAGCATAACTTCATTTGCATGCGTCTCTGTAGGACTGTTCCTGACATTTTGTCGTTGGGCTTCAACAATAACTGTGTAATTTGCATATTATACAGCGCCGTGACTGACAGGCTGATATTAGCGTGGCCTTGGTGTAAATGCAAATAATATGAGGACACAGTTATTTTGCTGTTAGTACAGCAAAATATTTTCCATTGTGTAGCTGTGGTATTTGATCCGCTCTGCGCTTCTCTCCCGCACACAACCGTACAGAGATCTCCTCTTCCATCTTAATTTTAATAATAAAACTGTCCCCTCTGCTGAATGCAGCTCGTGTCAGCCGGCAGCTCTAATCAGCCTGGGAACCAGAAGAGCAGAGCTCCGCATTACGCTGCATGTCTCGGTGATGATTTCAGGAGGAGCGGCTTGAATTCGTCCTAATTATTCTGCGAGCACCGCAAATCAGGAAGCCAGAGAAAGTGACTGAGCGCTGGTTCAGAACAGATCACCTGAGAAAATGGTGTCTGTCAGCCTCCTCTGACGTGTTTCATCTGTGTCCAGGAATATCTCAGTGCACAGGCTTCACACGGACTACAAACACATGCACCGTCTGGTCCGCATGACCTTTCAGTTCACCTGCAGGGGAGAGGCGGACGTTTTTTTTTTACACGCATATGCCAAACACACTCCATGTAGAAACACACAAAATCACATCAGAGAACCCCTCTATGACTTCGGATTTGGCATATAAATTCAAAGCTTTCTAAAGAACAGGACACAACGCGAGTGCCTCCATAAACGGCGAGACAGGAAAGTAGACCACTAAATGCACAGCAGAGACAGACGGAGGCTCTTTAGATCGTTCCGGCTTTTTAGACATTTTCAGGTCTTTCTGGAGACGTTCTAACGGGCTCTGGTCCTGCCTCCGGCTGCATTTTCCTGAATCACTTTGGGTCGTTATTCTTTGGCCCTGACACACAAAGCCAGCATCATAAACCAGGAGCACAGAACGGCCTCCCTGCTGGGTCTTCCACGGTCAGCTGCATGCGGGAAAAAAAAGCTCACCGCGAAGACAACTTCAAACCGCTGAATGGGACGAGAGATTTACGCCTGCAGAAGAAGGGAGCAGCCGTCTCCGCTTTATTCAATAGGACGATGAAGAAAAAAAACATAATCGGCTCCAACTTCCATAAAAATAATTCATTTAGACCACTTGTCTGAATGTGTTAAAGACCACTTTGTGACTACTGTGGTCTGAAACTAAATCGTGGCATTTACTATATGGCGTCTTAAGCCCTGAAGCAGTAAAGATAACACAGATGATGTCGGATGAATGTATAGGGAAGTCAGTCAGAGTGATGGCTGTCTCTGATCTGACAGGCTTTTCCAAAAGCTGACTGTCAGCTTGGTGTGCCAGGGCCATCACTGGAGAGCAACCGTTCATCCTGAGAGCTCTGGAGAGGTTTTCTTTACAGCGTAAAGTCTTGCAGCCCGAGCCTCTGACTAATGATGCTGCCACCACCGTGCTTTCGCTGTAAACTCTGAGCCCTCTCTGTGGCTGTCGGAAACCCGTCCCCTTACGTTATCTTTAGGAAACGGCTTCTCCGGACTATGAAGATCCTCAAGACACCGCGGGGCTCATTGATCGTGACGGCTAGCTTGTTGACTCGTGTGAAATCAAAGGCCTTGGCGGGTGCTTCTAAGAGCGGCTGACATTTTCTGGTGCCCTTCAAGGATCTAAGCCTGGACACGACGTAGCTACACTTTGCCTCATACATCGGTTTAGACTGTCACACATCTTATGTTGCGTCCTCTAAATTGTGTCCAGTGAATTCCATTAAGCGCACGTTTACTCCAAAGGGACACACTTCCCAAGGGCCACTCATTAGTGTGTGTGGAGATAAGAGGTTAGCCACTGGTTGCATGAGCTCAACTAAACAGCTTTGTTAGCTCCACGTGTTGAAAATGTGAGCGGCAGCGTAAGGCTGCGTGATGCACGCTGCCCAGCTCTGCACGCAGTCTTATGAAGTCTGCCGGTGCTTCCTGGGGGAACAGATGGCATCTATCCAGGGAAAGGAGAGTGACTCACCTGCTCGAGGCTCCTGCAGGCTCTGGTTGTCTGAGTTCTCCTGCATCAGCCTGCGTGTCCATCGCAGCAGTTCACCATTCACGCCTGGCTGGAGCCCGGAGGACTTTGTGTCTGTGGAAAACAACAACAGCAACAACATCAGTCGTTTCGATTCTGTGCCGTGAACTGAGATGAAAAATAAACTCAGTTTCTCCTTATTTACTTTGAAGAGTGAGTCCGTAAGCTGATTAGTTGAATACTTTTAGGCTTAACAGCCAAAAGTGTAAGTTTGAGAATTTGGGGATTTTTTTCAGGAGGTTTTTCTGTAAATTAAAGAACTATTTATAACGGAAACTACAATAAAAAGATCCCAACAAAAATGGCCATTATGAACTTCTACATCTAACAACGGGGTCAAAAAATTTGATTATTTCAACAACAAAAAAAAGGCAGGAAACCTTTAAATAGTTATGCGTCCAACAGCGTATCATTTCAGCCCCAGTTCCATGTTTCTGTCAGGAATGCATTCCTGGTTTTCCCGAACCTCCAACAGGGGAGCTTGTATTGTTCCCTTCTGGCTTCCCTCCTAAATAGTTCATGTGTGCGTAGGTTTGACTTTTTTGCAGCTTTTCGAGGGCAACAGCTAAGGAGCTCCCATCAGGTAAGTCTGTCTCATCAACTGTGCTGTGAGGAAAGAAAACATGTCCTTCTCTGCCACCCACAGAGATCTTTCCACCGGGGAGCGTGAGGATAGTGAGCCATTTATCACGCTGCCTGCGACACGCTGTAGTATCATTATGAGGCAGCCTGGTGTCTGCGTCTGATGCATTTCCTGATTGCCGGTTGCTGTAGATTCCCTTTGTACCTCACAGCTCAATGAGCCCATTTCAGGAGGGCAGCGGTCGAGGCTGAGCAGAGACGTGAGGGCTTTCATGTTCTGAGGCATCAAGAGCAGCTCATCGCCTATGATATTCAAATGGGGTTATTGTGCCTCAGATGAATCTGCAGCGTTTTCACACCTCTAACCAGGATGAGTCGCCTGAACAAACGGGATGTTTTATCTATTTTCTAGATCCTGATTTTAGCAAGTCAAGACGATCTGAATTCAACATGGTAGACACTTGATGTTTAGCAAAGACAAACCTTCTTTTGACAGATTTTAGTTGTATCTAAAGCGGATTGATACAGATTATTTGGGTTAGCTGGTTTAGGAAAACGATACCTTATTCTATACATATAATATGTTGATGTTATATGATATATATTTCACTGGGAACTTGTGTTATTAAAACCTTCATTCTGAAGAACTGAGACACTTCCCGCTGACAGAAGTGTGTCACAAAATAACTTGCATGTGAAGACAGCTAACCCGGTTGGCACTGCGGTAGTATTACAGACAGATTAAATGTCTTCAAGAGATAAATGTGTCATTGAAAACTCCTTCGCAGCCCTTCATATTTGAGATTGTTAGGTTTGATTGTGCTGCCGCTGCCAAACACAAAACAGTGTTTTCCACGAGGGACTGTTTAGCCCGGTTGTTAAGCACCTCTCATCTTGTGACCAGTTTACTTATTAGATTACGTACTCTGTATGGCTTTTCTAGGCCAAACGTCCCATTCTGTCAATTTTTTTTCCCTAATTACCCCCCCAAAGAAAAAGGTACAGAGGGAGCAGCTGCCCAGAGATGGAAACTTTTAGATAAAATTCTTCATTTTGCAAAAAGATTCCGACCAGTCATACTTCTGAGAGCAGAAACAGCTCTGGCTTCACTCTGACCTTTGCCCTGGAAGTGTAACTCACAGAGTCTCAGCAAACGTAATGGTAGCAAGAGTTGGTGGAATAGATAAGACTGAAGCCCTAGAATGTAAATACAGGATAATTTATGGAACAATCAGAGATAAAAACCTGAAATGAGATGTGTTTGTATGGAAATAACTTAATCCTGCTGCCATGTTCTTCAACATAAACACAAAGAGTAACTGTACACTGTGAATGTAAAAAAAACAACAACAGAAAAATACCCATAAGAAGTAGACTTTCTGGTAAAGCTGTGCAAACTGTTTTCTGGACAGCTGCAAAGCTTTAAATAGCACGGTTTTCTTTTATTTGCAAAACATTTAAACATGACATTTAGGAGGACGAGATAAAGAGGCAGCTAGAATGCAAGCAAACAGAACAGGTACAGGCATTAAAGTGTCAGAGGCAGACTTTTTCCATTTGATCTCTGTGGGATGTTAAAAAACACGCTGTAATTAAGGGCATGAGTGCCCAAATAATCATCTGCCACGCTCTGGAGAGAGAAGCTGCTTTTGTTTACTTCTTAAGCAGAAACATGACGTTTGATGCCGACAGTCGCACGCCAACCGGACGGGCCGGCTTCCTCAGGTCTGAACTCCAAACAGGTCCCCTGCCTGACCAAAAAAAAAAGGGACAGTGGCCTGACTGGGACATGTATAATGCTGGAGAGCATGGCTCCATATAAAACCAGAGTAACATTTATAGATTAGCACAGCTCTGCGACATTTCCTCTGAACATGTCAAGAAAAAATAATCACGTTTAAGCGTTTGAATTTCTCTTTAAACCTCAGTTTCATTAATATATATATACTGAGGGAAGTTCGGCAGGTCGTCGCTATGTGCAGCCCTCTGATTACAAAGCGCCTTTGTGACTCGTCAGCTCCAAAATTTACAATCAGCAATAACAATTGACCTTTTTGGGAATGACATCTCTGGCTTGACTTAGTTTGCACTTTCTGACACTGCAGCCAGAATACAGAGAGCCAATACAACTTGTGTTCCCCTTTCATAAGACTGTGAAACTTCGACCATCTGATGTCATGTGAGGCCTGTGTTTGCACAAAGATCCATCAAATCAGTGCGGCTCATTACAGAGTAAGGACAGAAATGTTCAAATTCTACAAACAGTATGTTAGCTGTCTGTGATATAAATGTGTCGTTAAGAATAGGATCATGTGAAAACAAAACAATACAGTATACCTTTTTAGTGTATTAGAGTATGGTGGAAACCCTTAAACACAGTCTAATTTCAATTCATCATCCAAAAATGTTCACAAATATGTGAGCCAAGTTTAGTAGTAAATTGCAGGCTTTCAAATTCCAAATTTACAACCCATAATCTGATATTGGGTCTGGTCAAATAGTCTTCTTTTGCTAATGAATGTTCCTGACTGACATAAATTATCTGGACGTATCTAAGGAGTCACAATAAAAACTATCTAAATTCCCTGAGATACCACAGAAAGGAGTTCCACTGCTTCTTTTCTTGTCTCCTTTAGCAAAGGAAACAATAATGTTCTATGAAAGGACGAAGCTAATTCCAACCCTCCAAGCTGATTCATATTAATCCAGTTGTTCTAACTGAGATTTATCTGTGTTAATATGACAACAGGCGGCCTGTATTTCATCTGTGTGCTTATAGACGCGTGTGTGACGGGAGTTTAGTGTAACAGTGTGATGAGATTGCTTGGGATGGGGCACCAGGGGGACTTTTTTGAAGGGTGTTCATTGAGCATTTGTAGGTTCCGTGCTCCACGCCCACATCACAGCTTAGTGTAAGTGCGTCTGGACTCTCGTTGCGGCTCAGTCGTGTTTTCCTAATCCTTAAGAATTTCTCCTAACACCTTTCGACTTTTTTCCATCAAAGTCAAGGAAAAGGGCTTAAGAAAAGACGATAGGAGGTCGTTTTTCTGGCTATTCGAGCGGACCCGTTATGCTGTGTGGAAAAAGAATTGGGGACGGGACAATAGAGCACAAAACCATCTTGAGGAGATGTTCCTAATATGAAATGCATTCAAAAGGCAGGAAATAAAACTACTGAGGTCTCTGCACCTTGGACGGCAAATATATAGTGCTAGGGTCCCACCTACTCTATAAAAAGACCTAACCTGCAGAAGAACCAGTCGAGTAGGGAGACAAAGGAACAACCATGGTGTTCAGCAGCGTTGTCTGTGTTAGCAGGTAATATTTAGGTAAAAAGAGTCTGTTTTCTAATCTGATAGCTTGTTGTTGTGCTGTTGGTGGGGAGTTCATAACCAAATAGAAATGAATGTATTACATATCTATTCCTCTAACGTTAATTTGTGGAAAAACACAACCTCCTTAAGGGAAGTTGGGACATTGTAAGGAATGACTTGTGATTAGGAGAAATTCTGCCAGACATTTTGGATTTGAGTCACAGAAGTCGAGACAAAAATAAAACACAACCCAAAGCCAGGAGGCGAACATTTTCACAGAGCAAAAACAAACAAAAAGCATGGAAACCGATTGGTCTCTGCATGAGAAATTTCAAAGGTTAATGACTGCTCCTTGTACTTAATACAAGTTATCATGGAAACTTCTCTAAAAGTCAGAGGACGGCTGCCTGTGCAGTTTGCCATCATTCTAAAAACTTTGGCTCTTTACTCTATGTACTTTATGCCTGCATAACTCCAGTGAGACAGCAGCTCATCTCAGGAAGTCATGTAAGATTCTTCAAGTGAGACACCTGAAGCTGTCATTTACCGAAAACCAGCACCGCATGACAACCAGCAAGCCAACTATAGCAAATCCCGAGGAGACAACAATGTATTTGTTGCCTTTAGCGAAATGAACAAAGCAGCTGAGCAGTACATAAGTCAAATTCAGTAAGAAGAATTAGGTGTTGCTGTGTGTCTGCTGGAAACATAAGTAGGTTAAGGTTTGCTGACACTTTGACAGCATAAAGGAGGTGAGAAGTTCCCATTTTACCTCCACAGCTAAGTGGCAACAAAGAAACATTCCTCCTCTGCACTTATGTAAAATTAAATACCAAAGATGATCAGAAAGCGGTGTGGACTCTCTATATGATTATGCACAATCTGTGAACAGGTTACAGGCCTTCTTATTTCCTTTTATAGCCCAGTAGTGTAACCAGTGTAACCAGCTGCACTGCCTCACTTTTTACATTGATATGATTGATTTTTGTAAGGATGAGGCTCAGCCATTTTGGACATGACATGCGGCCTCTTCTCTGTTTCTTTGTAGCTGTTTTGCTGACCGAAGGTGATTTTGCACAGTTCTTCTTCATATGTGAAGTATTTAAGTATAGCCTCCTCCCACAGGTAATGTGTTTTCTTTTGTGGAGATCCATTGGATGATGACATCCATAAATGGTTACACAAGCAGAGTTCCTTTGGATGCTACAGTATGTGTAATATCTTCCAAGTATTGGGAGAGTATCCTGCCTGTCACCATTACAAACAGCAGGCCACAAGCTTTGCCCGGCTCTTTTATGCGCTTCGAGCCGAGCAGCCTCGGTCTCCGTCCTAAAAACCTCTTCAGCCTGATGGCACACTCATAATTTAAAGGTGAAGTATAAATATTAATGACGCTGCTCATTCAACAGGACACTCTTCCACAAAGCCCGAATGTAAATCAAACACTCCTCACAGAACAAAAAGTTCACCTTATCTCCTTTTTACACTCCACGACAGGACAGGGGAGGAAAATGGTGCTGAAGCATCCGCTGAACGTGTGTGTGTGTGTTTGTGTGTGTGTGTGTGTGTGTGTGTGGAACTGACAGTGTGTGACAGCGACAGCAAAGGTGATGAGAGGATGACGAGCTGGAGGCGGAGGAGGGGAGTGGGGGTGGGGGGGTTGGGGGGTGGTCTGATGCCTGATTCCACACTAAAGCATCGTTGCCTCACTTATTTTCTCCAGTGGGCGTATGTGCCCAAAAGAGGATTGATCAAATCAAACCCTTCTCATGCCTTCCATCTGGCTACTCGCCGTTTTATAGAGGCACTGCATACAGTGTGTGAAGTTTATTTTACCCCGAGGCCTGAGCGAAAGCTGTCCATGGGGAAATCAGGATTACGGCCATCAGATCTGTCATGTCGTGTTATGTTTGAAACGAAACGACAGTCACTGTAAGAAAGCAATCAAAAATGAATTTATCTGTTATTTGAATCTAACCCGAGACGATTCCTTTAGTTGGTGTAAACACCCTGAGAAAAAAAAGAAGGTTCAGGCAGTTTCAGGATAAAAATAGCCAAAAGCAAATCAATCAAAAATACACCTTAATGTGCAGACCCGTGTCCAGTATATCCCCTGAGATGAAAATAATATCATCCAATGGATGCTTCACCTACACTGTAACAGTCCTCACCCTCAGTGATTGGATTTGTAGATGCCACAATTTGTGCTCGCTTTGTGTGATCAACAATCTGTCACCTCCCTGCAGGGTGAACAGAGTCAATCATCCCGAGATGAGCAGAGGCAGGAAGGCGGTTGGCGGGCATGTTGGGAAACGCTGAAATATCCCCCATGAATCCCCATTTTATTTCAACTTTTGGAGCCTAATGAATGGCATACTGCTGGAAAATAAAACTCAATGGGGTTCAGCTTCCTTTTCCTCCCGAATCAGCCGGCCTGAGACTAATATAGTCAGCTTTTAACTGTGTCATAAGACATTTTGATGGAGAATGCGGTATGTCCTGCTGTGACATGTGAGCACTTCTGCAGAAGGTGTGGGCTCATATAGCTCGTGCCACATACATGAAGAGGGATCATGTGTGGCTCCAAATGAAGACAAATCACAAATTATTCTAAATCATCTACTACAGAGATTGTCTTATTACAATAACAACACAGTAGTTTAAGAAGGGGATTACTTAGTTTTTTACCTCTGCACTGTGAACATTTGTGCTGAGTCTATCATCATCTTGAGATATTTTGTTCCTTCACCAGGATGAAGACTGAGGCTATATCTGGCACAAGGTGCGCTCATCTTTTCTCATCCATCCCTGCAAACAGCTGCTTTTACGCAAACTCTAACACCCACGAATGTGGCTATCGAAAAATCTATATCAATGCCATAATATCATAAAACATTTCGAACCCCAGTTCAGTTATTCGACCATTTCGGCTCTGAATTGTAGTAATTGTGCACGCAGGCGCGGAGGGACCGGTCGGTCCGCGTTCTCACCTGGTGCCTGGATGACCTGTGCGAGCCAGAAGACGGCGACCAGCCCGAGTCCACAGCAGCAGAACCGCTGGAAGGGCCGCCGGTGCCTCGCCGCTGCCCTCATTCCTCAGCCGGCTGCATGTCCACCAGAAACATCTGTTGCTCTCTTCCTTGACACTTGTTTCACACTTTGTCCGAAAAAAAGAGCTCCGAGCAAACAGCCACCTCCGGGAGCGGCAGCTGCAGCAGCGGGCGACTTCTCAGACAAGTTGTGTGTAAAAAAAATAAAAAAGGACCAACACCAACACAAAAAAAAAGAAAAAAAAATCCCCCTTACGACAAAGCC